ATAAAATCACTCAGGTCGCATGCTGCAAACATAGACACACCATCAACCAATGCACAGTGTCTGAGCTGGGCAGCAATGAGACAGAGGCAGAAAAGGCAGCTCTAGTCATTCATAACATTTGTGCATTGGCCAAAAAGATCATTTGCCAATCACAGCTTTGACTTTATTCGCCGTCTATAAACCTGTAGTCTGCCGATACATTTTTTGTAAAAAAACGATAATTAAAATTACTTGCTTTTAACACTTCTTGTTGATAATTTTAATGTTTCTTGTAAAAAAAATCAAGTAGTACATAAATGTTGTTAAATAATAGTAATAATAATGCCTCATTGTGGCATATGATGTGAGAATATCCAGTGATACATTCATTTTGGTCTGAAGTTGTTGTCCATATTAATGTTGTCCTGGTGAAATCTTTTATCTTTCATGTACTTTTAAACTACATTATTCCAGTATGGGGATTAATGGAAGGACAACCAAAGGGTATTTCATGAACCCTTTTATAGTTGCTAAGAGAGTTATACATTGAGCATGGAAGGGTAAATACCCGCCATGCAAGGGTCTGAGGACCTCACCGCCTTTGCCACATTTGAACACATTTCTTATAAATGTCAGTTTCATGTGGATACCTATCTGGACATTTATTTGACACATATCAATTTATATGTTTAAATTAAGATGGCTGTATCAATACTTATTGTATTTTTTAATGTGAGCTAATGTGTTTCCTCACATTGCTTACCTCTTTCTCTGTTCTTTTTGCTTGCTTTGCTAAATTTGTTAAAGGAGGGGTGGTGACTACAGATGCCGATGATAGTGGTGCAACTGGTCTGAAGACAGTGTACACTGTACAGTTCATTTAAAATTGTTGTAGTCATGAGGATTCATACAAACTCTCGAGAAGAACATCTAAAGTATAGTTCTTAGAATAGATGTGCTTTTTTAAAAAAAAGTGGCTGTAAAGATATGCAGCATAAAATGTACTTTACTTCACCTGCACTTATGTCTCAAATTAGGGAAGAAAAGACATGGGTTTGGATGCCAAGGAAGGTACAATCAATTAGCCCAATAAGAGCATCAAGTTCCATGTAGAAGCATAATCCCAAAGAAGTGTGGAAGCAGTCATAAGTGTGGGATCAGCAAATTTAGGGCTTTTCTTCCATGAGTGATCAAGGACAAAGCTTTTGATGCAGATTACATTAATACACTGCCATCCCTTCTACCTGGGAATAAAAGGAGATGAAATACTTTACCCATGATCGTGTGTGCATGGCTACACTGCAAATGTAACCGAATTCCTAGTAGCTATTGACAATTCTTCTTCTTCTTCTTCTTCTTCTTCTTCTTCTTCTTCTTCTTCTTCTTCTTCTATTGCAGCTCACTGTTCTTTTTCAGAAGAGCTAGTGGCTACGCTAATTGCCTAGTGTTATTTAAAATATGTATCTATGGCATAAGTGTCAGCAACTGAAGGAAACATCTTTGCCACCATCTTTGCATCTACAAAATAGCATCCAGTAGATTTTCTCTGGAGGCAAAAGGTGGAATCGAATTCTTTAAATTCAGAGCCACGGGAAGATCCTTGTCTCTTGAGATGAGGTTGATGTTTATTGTACCCCTGTGCTGATGGATCTGTTTCAACCGCTACGCCATCTAAAGCAGAGAGTGCACTCTGTGCTATACAGTTCACCTACAACAAGCCTTAGTTTGAAGTAATCAAAGAAAGGCTGCTACAATAATTGCTTTTGCTAAGATGGAGAAAGGAATAAATATGACAATTTCATCCTTTTACCCATGGTAGAATAAATGTTTCAGAGGCACACAGTGGAACTCCTGACCACTTCCCCATTAGAATGCCTTTTTAAAAATCATCTCCTGTCCTCCTGCACATGATCATCATATTTATATCCCACTGCTAAACTTTTGCTCCCAGAACAGCTCACAACAGTATGAAACAAATAAACAGGTTCGTGCATCTGAACAGGTCATCAGCCAAACACTACCAATAAGATGAAATAAGGAGAGCTCCTTCCATCAGCTCAGCACCTCCTAAACTGTTTCCATTCTACTTGGTCATTTTAAGAGCTACTATTTAACTTTAAGAACTGGTGCCTGAGTGTGCTTTTTTGCTCCTTCCTCCTTGTTGTGTCTGTGTGTGTCTGTATATGTGTGTGATGCCTTTTAGAATGTAAGCATACAGGCAGAGACTGCCTTGTTTTAATTGCTTGTGTGTAAGCCCCCTTGGGAGGTGATTTAGCTGAAGACTGGGGTACAAATGCTCTATCTTAATTAATTACTATTTTGCCATGTGTTGTGTTAAAGGTCTGCTGAGTGTGTCCTGTAGAGTAGTTTCTTTCCCTGGAATGTGAATCATCACAGGATGCATGCGATAGGGGGCTTTATCACAAACAGCGTACCTGATCAATTCTTTACATTCCATACAAGAACTAACAAGACAAGCTATATAAAATCGGGGGGGGGGGGGAGCCTTTAAGGAACATTAGTTGACCATTTAGTCATAGAATACTTACATAACCATGCCTGGTACTGAGACATCTTGGACACAGTGCTACAATTAATGAATTGGGCATCTGTACTAACTGCAAATGTAGACCAGTAAGCGGCTCTTTTTAGAGCAAAGGGGAAAACATTTGCCTGTCACCTCTCAATATCTTTATTTTAGAAAATGATCTTTATTGTGTTCTCCCCCCCCCCCCTTCAGCTGACTCTCTAGCAGAGATAGGCAACTTTTTAAATACAAACTATCAGCAGATGCCATTGACTAAAAACATCACTGATGTAATATGTGCATCAGAGAAGACCGGTACAGTCTTACATCTTACCCAATTTTTCTGCTGGTGATACTGATGTTCTAAGAACATGGCTTTATCACTTGAAGCCTTCACAGGAAACATAAGAAAAAGACCAGTAGGACCAGTCAATTTATGATCTGCCTTGTCACTCAACGCATTTGCTACAAATCAGAGGTAGATTCGATGACTTTGGAGATAAAGCATTTGAAAAATGAGCAGCTCCTTTTTTCCAAATCTATCACAGCACAATTCATAATCAGAACTTTGTATAAGTCTTTTAAGCTTTATTTATTTCTTCCAGTATTCTATCCTTAACAAACCCCAGTCCATTTAATATTGCTTTTTCCTTGAAGACCAAGGTTACAAGGAAGCTCAAATGTGGATTGAACTGGAACAGGTTTTTACAACACTACACTATGTTAATTGGCCTCCCAAAACAGAGTCATCAATATTTTTTATTTTATTTTAGCAAATGGCCACTGCTGATAATGCAATTAGCACCATCTGTATACTTTTTTGCATTTTATTTCACTTCGTTTCTTTTGTGATCTCAGTGTTTATGTTTCTCCTTCTCCCAACCATGCAAACCTCATAAGACAGGATAACACTTCCTGGATCTGATGAGGTCGACTGACGTCTGTGAAAGCTTATGCCATAATAAATGTGTTCAACTTTAAGGGAGGGGAGGAGATGAGAGGATGGGGAAGTTTGGTTGCACTCATGGAAGTTGTTCGGAGCAGGCAATTGTTTGATTGTTAGATACAAACCCCTGTTATATTTGCTGCAACCAACTAACATGACAATCTTTCTGGAAAAAGCACTACCTATGTTTCTTCCCATAGCATTTTCCTAAGATGTCAGAATAATGCTGAAATGCAACAGGCCAGTGTAGGGTCTAGTGCTTGGAACAATGGAGTCGAATCAGAATTCTAAAACATTGCAAGATGTGGTAAAAAAATTGTAAAGAAGATCTCCAGCTTTCAGAAGTTCTATGGTAGAATCCCATATGCTACTATCTTTATGTGATGATACAAAAACCTATGATGCCAGTAAATGTGTCAGAAAATCATTATCCAAGCGATCATAGTGTCATATATATATTTTTAAGTGGCCAACATAAACAGAACCAAAAATAGCTTGCGCTATGGATACAGCAGTATTTTTGTAGTTCCAACAGTGAAGTTTTAAAGGTAGGCCCTTCAGCATTTTACTGCCAAGATAATATTCTAGATGTTCTATCAATGCAGGCACACTTCTGACAAATTTGCTAAAGTCTCAAAAGAACAGGGGGGGAAACCTTCAGAGTTTTAAGCACACTCAATGCTAAACAACAAAATCAACTTGACAAAAGACATTTTAAAACATAATTAAAAGAATAATTATGCAATCCCTACCAACTCCCTTTTTTCTAGTATGAAAGGGAAATGCTCTTACTTTACCAGGGTGAGTGTAATAGTCTATGAATTATAAGATCAAAGAGGCAAACTGTATGTTTTCTAAAGTAAGAATTCCTTCTCCAAGTTTTACACTTACCACAGCTAAAAGAGCTGTGTGAAGGGATCAGTACTAAACCCAAAGGACAGGCTGTGCATGGCAAGAAAGAGAGCAACTCCCTCATGCCTTTCGCAGGTCACTACGAAGGACCATGTTAGCAGATCCACTCCAGACCCTTAACAGGCAGCTCTGCTGCTACCAGTAATTAGCTTGGACAGCTCTGGCTCCAAGAGTAGCAGCAAGGCTACACCATAATGAGCTCAGCTGGGATTAGCAGGACAGGGCAGGGAACCAAGAGAGCTGAGGCATTCTGCATTGCGTATGTATCAAGGAGATCAAACAAGGATGGCTGGCTAGGTTATCCCCTCACCACCTCATTCCAAAAATGAAGCACGGCAGTGTGTAAAATACAGGCTAATGAAGAGCGACACCTCCAACAGATGAGAGCCACATTAATTAACACAATCCCTAGATCATGTAATACAGTTTCTGTTAGTGCTAGCAAACTTGTTGTCACTGATTTAAAAGGAGGGGTGGGAGGAGGATGGTGCTTTCCTCTCTGTTTCTAGGAGAGGAAGATGATTTAATTTTGGTATTTGAAAGGAATTCCTTCGTGTAGCCTTCAATGAGAAGAAGATTTAGCAAACTAGCAGCACGTTTCTCAATGTATATGTATTTTAAAAGAAAGAAACTCACTTTTCAATCAATAGCTTTTTGTGTTCCTTTTTGAAATACGCCAGCTCGTTCCACACAGCATCAGAATCTTCTTGACACAGCTGCCGGGGATGAGAACGCTCTGTTCCATTTTTACCGCTTCCAGGCCTGTATTTAAACAAACAATGACAAGAACAAAATCTATAAAATAAACGGTTTTAAATGTCCGTGAAAAGTGTAATGTCCCAATACTTGACATGTAATGGCATTACTGAAACATAGCCCCTAAATTTTCACGTCAAGAAACTGAAATTCCCGTTAACTAATTTCAGAAGGATAAACTGCTGATGTGGCACTAGAGTTCAGAAATGGTGTGTGTCAAACCGCAACGTTCGCCTTCGTTTGCACAGTCAGCAGGGAGAAAGTGAAAGGTAAAGATGTCAGACACGGTCTCAGAGAAAGGTGAGGAGCCACCAATTCTCCCAGCACCCAGTGTCAACTGATCCTTAAGTAGCACAAACACTTGATCTGAAGGAAGGAGCTAAGCATATATCAACACACAAAGACCAGAAGGTGGAAGCTCTTCTTCATGATCTTGGCAGTTCCTTTTCAGACGATCAGAACTTCACAAACCATGGTGTTTTCATACACAGCCCTCATATGGAGACGCTGGTTCCCGCAAATGGTGCTTCGACATTAGTGGTGCCAGTTACAGGCCCACTGTCAGGCCTCTGTACTCCCAAAACCACCATGGCGATGCAATCTACAACTTCCTGCACAAAGATCCATGACATCACAGGCATACATGAAACCTCTTTTCTTAACTCATTGTGCTCCACAATCCAACTGGCTGATAAAGCACAGAATTCTGGTAAACTGAGATCAGGGCTCTGCTTAGCCAAGAGACACACTGGGTGGCCTTGGATATGTCCACGCCTTTCAGACAAACCTACCCCTGCCCCAGGGTTGTTACTAACATAAAATTATGTAAATCCACATAGTGCCAGTTTTCTGTTTGGAGAGAGTAAATCAATTGCATTTGAACAGAATGTTGCTGTTGTACAAGACACTACAACTAAGCTCAGGATTCTACTGTCTGTCTTCGGAAGGAATTTGGAGATGTGATTCATAAGCATGCCACAACACAAACATTACATGAAAGGCTTTGTGGCAAGAACTGACATATGACATTGTCCACTTTCCTCCCAAGAGAATGCTGCTTATGACCTTACTACATGTTCAATTTACGTTCCATTGTGCTGCGTTTGGGGAGGTTTGAGCATGATCCCACACAGTGTGGACAGAAAAAGACAAATAATCAACAGACAAGAGGAGAAAACCTCTCTAATTTATGCCTTGCATAAACAACCTTGCTGACTATGGTGAGTCATAAGTGCAAAACCAAACTGAAATGACAAAGTGGTATGGGAAACATTTGATAGGCAGTAGTGTGCAAAAACTGTAACAGAAGAAAGGACATAAATAGAGGTCATATTAACAGTGATAGGAAGAGAACCAAGCAATTGAATCAAATTATAAGCCAATACAGATGTATTTGCACATGTTCCTGAAAAAAGTCTATGTCATCTATATTATTCATATATTTATACATTAATATTTGAATTTTGAATACCATCTGTTAAGGTATTATTGATTTATTATTAGTTTTATGAATTATTATTCCTATTATTATACCTATTTCTAACCATTAGAAATTGTAAATTAAAATCATTTCATTTTTAGAAAAAGAAAAAGCCTTCTAAAAATAATAAATTTATAGAACAAATGTTCTCCATTAAAATTATATATGAACAATGCATAGGTTTTAAAAGTGCATGCAATGCCCTATATTTTCATTTACACCAGAAGGACAGTTTACTGTGTGCGATAATGCCAAGCAGAATGAGTTCTAGGGTAGTACAATGCTTTACACCCATGCTGCCCTTTGATTTCCCTGTAAAAGCCACATGGCGAATTCAAGGAACATGAGATTCCTTTGTTCCTGCAACTCTGATTGGATTTCTTGTGTCTCAGGTAAGGTATGGATGTGACGGTTTGTAATCTTCCCTTTTGCATCTGGTTTGACAAAGTCCTGGTCTAATTATGTCTTAGAATCACTTCTCTCAAAGTGACCTTGCAAGTCAACAAAACATCTTTTATATTTTAAATCGAAATATTCAGCTTGATCCAATGTTCTGTGGATCAATGTTCTGTGGATCTGCTGCATAGAAGGAGCTCCTCGCAAGAATTTCCCATTCAAAACAATACTGAGCTTCAGGTACATAACAGGGATGGGAAGCATGGAGCTGCCCCAAACACTGACATGAGTGTGGAAAGTGCCTCACACCTCCCCTGAACAAAAGCCAGTGTGTATGGAACGATTCTTGGCATCCTTTGGATTCACCTTCTGTGCAACCAGAGCCATTCCTGATCACTAATTTACTTCAGAATAATTGCGTACAGTCACCATTCCGGAGAAAAGTGTGTTGGTTGCAATGGCCTCACATATTCAAATAGCAGCATTTTGTTTATCAGAAAATGTTATTTCTAGCAGTCAATACTACTTTGTGGAATGTGTTTGCGCATCTGCTTTGGACACCTAAAGGATTGTGATAAATGACACAACTCTTTCCCTTGCCAGAAGCTTATATTTGATTTTGATTTTTTTTAAGACTGGAAAAACCCTCTTTATAAGCTATGCCTCCCCTTATACATGAGATATCAAGAAACCCTTTAAATATTCAAGAAATGCAACCACTTAAAAGTCTCTCCTCCTCTCTCCACAATAATGAGGAGACCTGTGGCTCAGTGGCATGGCACATGTTTAGCATTCAAAAGGTTCCAGGTTCAGTCCAGATCCCTGGACGTGTCTGGGAAGGATCTATCTGAAATGGGAAAGTCAGAGCTGTCCGCTGAAGCCAGCACTGAGCTACAAGGGCCAATGGTTGGCTTTGGTATACGACCACTTCCTATGTCCCTATACCATGTTATTTCAAAAACAATTTCTTTTCACAGTTTAGCCATCCAGTAATGTATTGCTCAGAGCATATGCCTCCCGATTTAAGATAATATAATTGCTATTCCCTACAGCATGTGGGAAACCAGGCATGATAATAACATGTATTATTAGTATTATTTATTTAATTTGTATACCACCCTATACCTGTAGATCCAAGGGTATCCTGATATTGGATCAGAGCTAGTATAACTGTGGTCCTAAAATAAATATTTGAGGGGGTTTTTAATTGTCCAGAAAGTTCCTTGCTCAGTGATACTACAAACCCTGTGCACAGATGACAAGTTTATAACATTATCCCAGTGGAAGAGGCATATTCAACCAACATATCAAAACTCCTCCTATTGAAGACTGGGGCTTTTCCAGGGAGAGGAACATCCATGCTAATTTGCTGTGTTCATTGAACACCATCCCTATGTGGTTGTGATTCTGGGCTAAATAGCTCAACAAAAACTGCTTTTATTTAATTTGGTAAGTGAACCCAAGTGTCTCAGAGTGCTCCACATCTTAAAACAGAAAATAAAAGATTGTTGTGTGTGGTTTTTTGTACCAGTTCAACATACCTAGAGCCCCCATGGAGGCTCCCATTTGGTTAGGGCAGAGGGAGGGAAATAATGGAAGCAGAAAAGGTGGTCATTTCATTTCTTTTAATAAACCCAGGCACACAACAGCTATCTACAGGGAATAGAAAAACCAGCAAAGGCCCCTGAAGAAATCAATACATGGCCTTGATTCAGAGTTATTCCTAAAAACCCATTCAAAGAAGTAGCAGAATCTCAATTAGTTTTACTGTTATTTTCACTACCATTGCTTAATCAGGGTTTATGAATTGATCACTTTCTTCCCCATAACTTATAAGTATAAATGATTAATTAGCAGCACATTCTAGTGTTGAATTAACAATGCAATCTGTGCAAATTAATTGTGGAGCTACCAAGAGAACCCCCTCTACTGACCATAACACTCAAGAGGGTCTATAAGGAAGGCTGACTTTCAGATATTTGGGGCCCAAGTCATTTATGGCAAATATCTACTAACATGAGCACCTTGAATTGGGCCCAGAAACGAATCGGCAATCAGTGCAGCTGTTTTAAAATGGGGGTTATTCAAATTAGAGATGGAACCCCAACCAGTTATCTAGCTGCTGTGTTTTGGAACTGTTGTCTTCAATGGTAGCCCCATGTGCAGCATGCTGCAATAATCTAATCTGGAAGTTATCAGAGCATGGAGAACATTGGCTATGTAATATCTGTCCAAAGGGGCCATAGCTGGAAACAGGCACTCCTGGTCACCAAGCTATGGACCTGCTTAAGTTGCCGATAATTTAAAATCTAAGCTGTTCTTGCCCATTGCTCATAGAAGTTATACCATGTGACCTAACAGTAAAAGTGGAGTATAACTGCATATATTAATAAATGTTTCAGGTGTTTATAATGATTATTGCATGCTATGCAGAATTATTTGGAGTGTACAATGAAATCTACATGTAAACAAACAATTAAAACAATGGGTGATATTCAACTAACTGTTACTCAGACAGACCCACTGAAATGACTGGACCTAGCTTGGTCATGTTCATTCTTTCCAATGGATCTACACTGAGTAAAGTTGGTTGAATATCCCCCACTGTAATTAAGAAGGATTTTAGGAGAGGTGAAACAAACCATTTGACAACTTAGAGAAAGTGGTCCTATTGTGTTAAGTTCATTGCAGCAAAAAGAAAGGGGTGGTTTGGCATTATTCGTCTGAGCCTTTGCTCATGCCCTCTCCCCAAACATATGCACAACCTTCTTCCTCCTTTCTTCACGGATAGAGAAAAAAAGCTATATATAAACAATGGAACTAAATGCCCACAAAACACAGGTACAAGGAAAGGACAGTGACCATTCACAACAGAAGTAATTGGTGGCTCTGTTCATTCGTGAAACTTATAATGGGATCTAAACTTAAATGGCATTCCAGTTTATGCCACTTGTTTATACAGTAACATTTACTCATATGAGCCTGTGCAATAAAGACCAACAGTATCAGGAAATTATCTTTTCCCTGCTTTAATCTACTTCTTTTCTAGAACACCTAAGCAGCAAAAGTTACACTCAGATTTAATACATATAATGGTTTTTAATGAGCTGTGTAACTTACTTGCTATAGCTTTCCTCCCATTGTTTTAATTGCTTTTTTACTGCTCTGTAGTTGGTCTGTAACATCTGCAGCCTCTTTTTGCGCTTTTCATGGGTTTGCCTCAGCTCATCGTTTTCCTGGATCTGCATAATACCAAGGTGACGTGATAAGATACAACTGAGTAAAATGCAAGCTCTTAAAATGGCAGTCTGCCACAGCTAAGTTTTTTGTTATTATTTACGCTCAACTGACAACGCAATGTTCATACACGGTGACAGAAACACCCATGGCATTTAGAGTTGGAAAAAGGTTGAGAAATGGGCAACCAAACGATCAAAGGGATGGAGCGACTCCCCTACAAAGAAAGGTTGCAATGTCTGGGACTTTCAGTTTAGAGAAAAGGCGAGGAAGAGGTGAGATGACAGAAGTTTATACAATTATAAACTTGGCATGACATGGAGAAAACGGAAAAAGTTTCCCCCCCCCTCTCAAAATACCAGAACTCGTGGACATCCAGTGAAGCTGGACATTGGAAGATTTAGAACACAAAAAAGAAAGTACTTATTTACCCAGTGCATAGTTTTGTTTGTATTGTTTTTGAAAACAATAATTGGGAATACAGATTCTTAGAAATGGATTTATTTCACAAACGTTCTAACAAATATTCAAAATAGTTGTGACCAAACACAATAGTTTAATTACTACAGAAACTGGTTGACAAGAAGCAACACATTACCACCTCACTGTATCCTCAAAGTGGATAAAGAGATAAAGAGCTTTCATGGGACATCAGAAAAACTCAAGTTGTCCTATGCAGAGTACAGTATTCCTGGGACTAACAAGTCATGTTCCTTCCTATTAGTAACACAGCCAATACAGATCAACTGTGCGTTGCATAAAAAGAATTTATTCTTAGCACTTGACTCCATGGCTTTTTGTCGATGAGAGTAGCCAAAACCTGAAGCTGTGCTTGATACCCAGTGCATAGTTTAACTATGGAACCCCCACAGGAAGTAATGATGGCCACCAACTTGGGATGGCTTTAAAAGATTAGACAAATGCATGGAGGGAGAGGTCTATCAAAGACTACTAGCCTCAGTGACTAGGCTGTCCTCCACAGTTGGAGGCAGCAAAGCTTCTGAATACCAGTTGCTAGAAACCAAAAGCCTGCTTGATGGTCTCCCACAAGCATCTGGTTGGCCACTGTGAGAACAGGATGCTGGAATAGATGGACCATTGGCCTGATCCAGGAGGCTCTTCTTATGGCCATTTCAGACATGGGGATATAACTCTCTAGGGTGGGACAGATAGATTTGCAGGGATCCAGCCCCACAATCCTTAATTCAAATTCTATTTAAGTACCTGCTTGAACATTTTATTTCAATTTTTTTGTTGCACAGGACTGACTGTGAAAATGGTAAAACTTTAAGCCCATGGAAAACACATCTTATTTATTTCAATTTCCAGTATGCATTGCTATGTATGCTGGGTTTTATAAAATGACATTGTGACTTTTGTTTGCCTCTGTCTATGCCAACTGAAAGCTAATTCTTATAATAATAATAATAATAATTTTCACCTTTAGCTGCAGTGTCTTTTCTAAGTTTTCAATCTTTCTTTCAGCTATTTTAAGCCTTCTTAATTCCTCCGACTCTTTCAAAAAGCTCTTTGGGGACAGAGACCTTGAACGTTTCACAGGTGGTTCCTCGAGAATAAAACAAGGACATGGTTGAACTGGTTGGAACACCGGATTATGAAAGACATGCAAAATTAAAGAACAAGTAATTTTGAATACTAATAATGAATTATAAAGAAAAAAAATCCTGCATGGAATACCAGAGAAATAACAAGCAGAATTACCACAGCGCTACCACTAAAGGTTTCTCTGTGACTCGTTAATGAGAATATTCATTTACATTTACATTGTTTCTTTCAGAATAATGATGTCCCATTAGGGAAGACTAAAGGGTTATAGACTCAGAAATGCAAGAAACCTCATTACAAAGGAGGGGATAGAGGCTGATCTAATTGCTCTATAAGGGTCCAAGGTTACACTTGATAGGACAACCAGAAACAAGAGGGAAAGGATTTTTTCCCCTTTGAAATAGTTTAACACACTGTGAAGTTGAAGGAACAATATGCTTGAGGAATATAAATACAACAGACAGTAGATCTTATACCATAATGACCATATGGTCATTAACTATAATATGCCTAACTAGAGACAAGAGTGTGTGTTTATATTATGTGCAGCTTTCTACGGCAATCTGGAGAAAGGATGTGTGAAAATAGCACTTAAACTGGGCAACCTTCTTGCTCGCACCATGTCATATGCCTTTATGTAAAAGGCATGAAAGATTCAGATCAACTTCACTGAATTCCTAGATAATTTTGGTTAAAAGGCTGGGCAGTATCTTAATACCATTATGGTGCACTTAATAGTTTAGCAGCCTAAGATATATAATGCTCCTTTAGCTTCTCCAATTATTTTATTTTGTAAAACAAGGAGCAATTGCAGTGCCTTCAAAATTCATCAGTTTTTTAATGACACAAAAGAAAAGAAATAGGGTTCTGCTGTTCTTTGTTTTTGCACAAAACAGATAAGGATTCGGACTGTAGTGGAAGACCTCTTTGAAAAACATATTTAAATATATGCTTCCCATCAACTATAAGGCTAATCTGAGGAAGGAGGAGGTATGCTACTTGGCTGCATAATCCTGTTTCCTGCTGGGAACAGGATTGTGCAGCCAATGCAGACTTAAACTCTGTTTTCTCACCCATCAGATGACATTCCCTTGACATTAGCTGAAGAGCAGATGGATGTGGTTTGGGGGAAATGGCCTCATGGGCCAAACTGATCCCCAGGATTTGTGCAATTGCAGCCTTATTGTTTTTTTGAGCCACTGTGAAGGCAAGTGGCTTGTGGACATGAGTACTGCCTGGCCACAACCCTAGAATTGTCTCCAACACTCCAGGGGTGCTTGCATGAGAACTGTTGAGTGTGAACTGGCTCACAAACAATAAAAGTTATATTGATTTCTCTATCTGCCTGTACTGAAGGCTTAGGATGGCAGAGGCACTTCTCTTGCTGTCCCTAACCTGATCTTCTATGACCACTGTTCACGTTTTCTCAGCATCCCTGGTCCCTCTGAACTCATGACACCTGGTGAACAGGGCTGAACTTTAATGCCTACTCTCCATCTTCCACACATTTACATCTTCCTTGCCACTTCCAGGAACATAATTGCAGTCTAAGGTTGATGCCCTCTTGCCAAGTGTTCAAGGCAGATGCTGCAGAACTGTACCACCAACTCACCACCCTTTCTCTGACTCCAGTGAGTCAATCCACATTTCAGTAGGAATTATGTAGAATTATACTTAAGGTAACAGATGACATCAGGTTGACTATTCTGGCAGAGTATGTTTCTTGCTGCTAATGCATTGCTACGCTATATAAATCTTTAAGAACACTTTTATGCTTGTAGCATTGTAAAGACTATTATAATAAGATCCGTAAAGTGCCATGTACATTGATGGTGCCGAACAGATTATAAAACACATTTTGCTGTAGATCATCTGTAAGTAAAGATGAACTGGTTGCACAGGCCAAAGAGCACAGGAATGGAGAGAATTCTGAAGAACATTTATGAAGTCTTCAATAGAATAGAAAGGTTGACGCAACAAAATGAGTTGATGTCGGTGCAAGCCCCGATGAGGTGCAAATGTTCCATGCTAGAGGCTTTCCTGGAGCAGGTCAGAAGTGGGCGAAAAGGCCGCTAATAGAACTACTGTATAGTTTATAAGGGTCACTAGAGTGGCATAACTAAGTAGATTCTGTTATACCACAGCTAGTGGGCCACTTCAAACATTACTACAGTGTGGGACAAAGAATGGCCCCCAAATTTGTTGCCCCATTTGTGGGGGTTTTCAGACAGCAGCAGCAATGGCAGAGGTCCTCTTGTCAGGTGCCTCTTGTGGCAGATGCTATCTCCAGCGGCAACACCCAAAAAAGATTTCCGGGGGGGGGGGGCACAGAAAAGGCAATGTATATTTCTGGGTGAGGAAGTTGTGTTTCACATGTTAAGATCTCTGAACCAAAAGTATCAATATATGTTAATGGCAGGAGTCTAGTAACAGGAGGTGGCAAGTGGGGGGGAGCTCCTTCTTTGGGGGGCACTTGCCTCCTGCCCCCCCCCTTGGTGCTACCTATTTCCTACCCAGAATGCCTCAGATACAGTGTTGTCCCTGAGCATCCTAAGCGGAAATGGCAGCTTCCCCCAGATCCTGGGCATTCTGGGGGGATAGGACAGTCATTGCAAAAAAAGGTGAGTTAGTGCAGGGGAACATTTTCCTCCAAAATTGTTTCAGAATTACTCTGTGTCCACAGCATTTGTGGGAGAAGGTGACAAGAGGACATCCATTGCAGCTGTATGTTCTACCTTTAAAAATAAAAAATACCGGCAAAATGGTGCCTGATTCACTTCGCCCAGTTTTTAAACTGAACCTCCTTCTACAGTATTTCAGACATAGAATCATCTTAATTAAGTCTAATGGCTCCAAATTAGAAAAAATTGGGATAGTAGAAGGCACCACTTCTTTCATGGGGGTCAGAATGATGAAGGAGTCCCTGTTTGACCACATATTTGTATCTTTACAAATTTCCTAATTTCACAATACCACAGGATGTTGTTGTATTGGCCATCAACTTCTATGGCACTAATAGGGGAGTAAAAAAATTAATGGTGGGTAAGGCTATCAGTAATTAGTAGTCATGATGGCTGTATGCTATGCCCAGTGTCACCAGCACCACAGAAGGGCTCTTGAGCTTGTATCCCGCTTGTGGTCTTCCCACAGGCATGTGGTTGGTTACTCTGGAAAACATGATGCTCGACAAGATAGGCCTGGTCTAATCTACCAGGGCTCTTCTTGCAAGCTTCCAGGTATAATTCAAGATAGTTGTTCTGTTCTGACCTATAGACTCCTATAATCATTGAAGCCCTGTATCCTAAAAACATCTGCCTTCCTCGTGATTGTGATTAATATGACTACACAAAACTACTTTGTTAACAATACTATCCATGCAAGAAGTCTGAAGACTAGTGTTATGTTGAGCTGCTTCACAATTAAGAATAATCAGAACTAATGAAAAGACATATTTTGGCGGGTATCTGGAAATTAGTGTTATACAGGTGTAGGTGGGATTATTTTGATGTAATACATTTTGTTTTTGTTTTTACATGACATGATGTAACAAACCCTGAACATTTAAGAGCAGAGAGAAATACAAATTCTAATAGGTAAAATACATGGAAAATAACTGAGTTCATTCAATAATTAATTCTAAAGATAAAACAACACCAGTTGTACAGAACTCCTAACTCAGCATTTATATTAATTGCAAACTTTTAAATCTCAAACTCAATTTCTTAAGTTCATCTGTTTGAAAAGAATGGGCATCCTCACAAACAGTATCAAGTAATAAATATTCATCTTAAGAATCCTACAAAGAATTGAACCTTTAAATAATTTCATTAAATTAACAATCCTTTATTCAGTGTTTAATAAGGTAAAACTTCCTACTCCCAACAGTTATTTTAACAAGTCTTTGGCAGATAATAAAAACACTCTTCGATCAAGCTTCCAGAATTATAAGTAGCATCGACAGTTATTAAAACTGGTATTATCCGAGTCCCAGAGCAAAATGTCAAGCTTTGCCAACCTCATTTTGACACAAATACACAAGGCAATAAAGCTTTCCTACCTTGTATTTCTTCCCAGCCTTAACACTGATGCAATCCAAGAAATCTCTGCTGCAAAGGCTATGATCTGCTAGTGTATGATTTGCTCTTTTCAATTTTTCTTTCAAAAGCTTTATTTCAGATTTTTGTGATAGTATGAGATATTCTAGCTCACTTAAAGAATACTGCTGGAATTCCTAGAAAACAGAAGGGCAAGTACTTTGGAATACTTGGGGATAAAAGCAAAATATGAATACTGCTGCCAACATACTATGCTTCACATATTAAATCAAAAAGTTGCACACCAAAAAACCACCTTTTATAGCCAGGGCTGGGGTGGAATAAAAGAAAATATTCAAGTGCAATTGGACATAGGGCTAAGTTCACCAAAACATTTTTTTGGATTGTACCTGTTATGATATGAACTGTGCTCATAATGATTTGGATGTTTCCCACAGGCATTTAATTTATTTAATTCAATGGCATTGCCCTCCTCATCCCAAGGGAACAGGACTGATAACAATATGCTAATTATAAAACACTGAATATTTTTTTTAATCCCACCTTGATCTATACTAACACTTTCACCTATCCTATCTTTGGCATCAAAAGTCAGTAAAAGAAACACTTTACTGCTTCTGGAAGGCACTTAATCACAAGGAAGTGTCCAAGGAAAAGGAGATCCAAAGTTACAGTGCAACTACTGGGAATACATCTCTTAGTGCCCTTTCTGTCCTGGCTTAATACATAGATGACACAGTTGATAGGAGCTCTTGAAGGCTTCAAAAGAACATGGGGTGAAGACGACTTCCTATTTTGGGCCCATGCCATTGAGGCCTCTGTAGGTCATTGCCAAGGGACACGGGTGGCGCTGTGGGTTAAACCACAGAGCCTAGGACTTGCCGATCAGAAGGTCAGCGGTTTGAATCCCCGCAGCAGGGTGAGCTCCTGTTGCTAGCTCCCTGCTTCTGCCAACCTAGCAGTTCGAAAGCATGTCAAAGTGCAAGTAGATAAATTCGTACCGCTCCGGCGGGAAGGTAAACGGCATTTCCATGTGCTGCTCTGGTTCGCCAGAAGCAGCTTAGTCCTGCTGGCCACATGACCCGGAAGCTGTATGCCGGCTCCCTCGGCCAATAAAGCGAGATGAGCGCCACAACCCCAGAGTCAGTCACGACTCGACCTAATGGTCAGGGGTCCCTTTACCTTTACCAACATTTTTAATTGAAAAGCAAAAAGGCATTAGAACACTGGTGTAATGCACTCATAATGCACCCCTCACCATGGCCCAAAAGATGGCATAGCAGTTTTTATCAGCTGAAGTTTCATACCATCATCAAAACACAGGAATCTGTGTTGTTTTGATGTATAAACTTGTAGATATACCATGGGAGCCTTGGGATTGTTTGCCATGAAATGTGTAGCGCAATTCTAACATGTTTGCTAGCAAAAGTTCTAAACCTTCTCCATGTAGCCAATTATGACAATTCCAACTCTAGAGAATACAATCAGTTACAACGTGACAAAAAGTGAAACACAAAACTGCACATCTTCCCAAACCAGAAGGTGACAATAGTGGATGCCTCAGCAAATGGCTTTGATTTTCAAACCCTTAGCAACTATCAAGCGACTCAAACTCCCCAGCCCACCTCAAGGGTTGGAAGTGAGTCTTGGGCTTGCAGAAGCCACCTCCAACTCCCTCACCAGGCAAATAAAAAAAAAGGTTGCACAAAGAGACTCTACTCTCAATATGGATTTGTGCAGCACCAAGACAGAAGAAGTAGCATCTGAGAGTGTAGTGCTGATAATGCCAAGGTTGCAGGTTCAATCCCTGTATAGCACAGCTGCATATTCCTGCATTGCAGGAGGACTAGATGATCCTCAGGGTCCCTTCCAACTCTACAGTTCTCTGATTCTATGAATGGAGCCCCTGTCTGACTACCATGTGTTGAAAATGGGTGAATAAATTGTTCCTACTAGTTGGAAGCTTGGCAATGCATTTACTTCCACTATAGCATATGAAAAATCATTATGTGAGCCTCAATTTAGTTCTGCTTAACTTGGGGTTGTTTTTCTAAACTCATTCTTTGTCATGGGTTCCTTTGACCTGATTCACTTTTATCTGCTCTCTATCGGTGGCAGATTTTAATCTGGATATTATTGGCTGCATCCATAAACCATTTTTGTGTGTACAGAATTGTGCTGCGGCACACAGGTATGGACTATACAACTGTCAAATGTTTCCATGTACTGCAGAATTTGCCCTTCAACTTTTTCTTTATTAGCATGCTATGTCCAAACAACTTGGTTAGCAGCTAGTGGATGAGACATTGCAAGGTTTAAGGTTTATGTAACTCCAGTTTGGATTACGTGCTGAAATTCCTAGGCAGCAAAAGTGGATATTTATTTAATTAGAACTTCCTTGTAAATCAACAAATGCTACCACTATGCTAATATATAAAAGAAAAAAAATGAAGTTACTAGCCTGCAAAAGAAATTACTACCCTGTTTGGCTGGCCCAAGACATTTTGGCACTCGAGTTGAAACAAAAAATGGGTTCATTCACCTGCAATGAACTCCATGCACCTGACTATACCGAATTACTATACTGTATCTACCAGGCAAGTTGTGAAACACAATACAAGTTTGTGTTAAAATCCTCCATCTAAGTTGTACTTGCATGTGCAGTTTTTTCCAGTATGTGGTTCGTGGAGGTGCAGCAGGTAACAGCCTCCTCTCCCTCAGCCACCATCTTTCTAATTCCCTCGTTCCTCTGAAGTTCCTGTGTGGCTCTAGCATGTTGAGAGCCCTGCCTCAGTGTGATTCCTTCAGTGGATCAAAAGTAATCTGTAGATAGTAGTCTTTCCATCCATGGAAGGCAATCTGGATCCACTCCAATGTGTAGCCAACAGGAATACACATTCATATGTCAAAAGTGTGTTTCTTTTCTCACAGGGCAATAATGCCAACTTGTCCTAATAGCTCAAAGTAGAATACTAAATAAAAAATAATAATTCCTAAAATAGGATAATTCTCCTACTTGCTCATTTTATAACATGAAAATCTGCCTCAAAAAGAAAGCCCATATGATCACACTGCATTTTGTAAGACTAGATGGACTAATGTGGGTGATTTGCCAGAATTGGTTGAATATACTCTTGACTTTCAAAGTTGGCACCTGCCTGGCACGGGTAAGATGCATACTTTCACTAATCCATAAGCACTCTTAATTGGATCTATGAATCTGAGTGCATGAGGGAAAGCAGGGGCATGTGAACCAATGGTAGGTTGTATGTGAATCAACCTAATAAGGAAATGACATTAACAAGAAATATGCATATAGTTATGTGTGCAGCTCACATGGCAAGTTTGCATTGAACATATAGAGAAGATGCATTGTATCTAACTGTGCTAAGAGAAAAGGAAACATCTCACTAATTGTTTTTCTTAGTTAACACTGCAGTAACTTAGTTTTTATACAAGTGCAGCTAGCAAGTTCGAAGGAAAATCAATTTTTATAAACATCGTAACAATATTTACTACACTATATAGCGAGGAATAGCATCAAAATTTGTAATTACCAGGCATAGCATACAAGCTGTTCAAAATATAAGGCCCAGCTATAATGTAAGTTGAGTACCATTCTGCCCTCCTTCCCCCAAAATTCTTCTCCATCTCGGAATGATAAATCAGATTTGGTGATTAGGTGATCTGAAAAGCTGGAATGTGTAGAAATTATTTACTCTTAACTTCTTTTGAGTCTTGCATGCCCTTAATGTGGTTATTAGGAGGGGAGAGAATCTGTCAATTTTGTTTTCTCTTGGTTTGTCATTTTCCAGTCTTAAGTTCAGGTTTTGAACACATGCAAATTTTTGAAACACATACGCACATCCTCATCAGCATTCAAATGTGATATTCTGCTAATATACAAACCTGTGTGTATCATTTTGCCAAATATACACATTTTTGCAGAGCAATTTCCCCAAATATTTTATGCATACTTTACCCCAGTATATGCATTTCTGTACACATTATTACTAGGTTAGATAACTGCATTGTGAAATTCAGGGGGGAATGCAAATGTCAAAGGATGGCTAGCTTCAGTCTACTTGTTGTTCCAGAAGGTACAACTAGGTATGTTCACCTTTAAATGAACAATGAATTTAGGGGAGGCTGAATTTTCAAGGTGCACTCCACCATGGTTGGTACTGTGGAGTGAAAACAAGGCAACAAGGATGGGGACCACACTACAATTCCTAGAAGGCAATACAGAATTTTCAGAGAAATGGGGCACTCATCAGGGAAGCCACAGCAACACAACTTTATAGACCATGAGAACATTCCATAACATAACAGGACTGAGCCTTATTGAGCCTAAAGACATCAGGATGTGATGAGCTTAGCCAATTTTCATCTACATATTGGAATCCTCCATGTCCACGATGAAGAATGCCCAATGCAGACAGAAAGCAGGGGCGGAGGACGACTCACAGAGCTCTGACTTCATAATGAATTCTGTATGATTGTTGCATATGGCCATAATCCAGAGTCCACATGCCAGACAGTTCAGCAATACTTGGACACCTTTCTCCTGTTGTAGCTTAAAGCCCCATGTTAATGTGTGGGGTGCCATCTGGACTTTTGTCTGTGACTATCATTCTAATCCTTTCCAATGCCTCACTGAAATCAAAACTGCAGCATTAATTTCACGCTAAACTGTTCTACATATTGCTGACCACATTATCAGTGCTAGAGAAGACTTTCAAACAATTTTGTTGAATGCAGTCAGTACTTTACAGAGACTCCAATTAAACGCCTTTCCACGCCATTTTAAGTATATTTTGCACACTCTTTCTGCATTCAACACAGTGACACCTAGATTGTGTTTTCTAATCCAATATAGTAATGCTTGTGTATGGAGCATCTTGCCTCATATGCAGAGTCGGACCTGAGGACCTTAAGGTTTCCTCTGGGGTTACAAGCATGCAATTGTGTGATACGGTTTTATATTAGCTTGGGAAGGCAGAGTTAGTTTGATTAGGAAGGAAAAGGTGTTGTTTGGCTCTTCCGTCTTACTGTTGCTAACAAACACAGCCTTATAAGCCAGCTACACCAAAGTTTGCAAAACGGTTACACTTCTGTCACCAGTAGAAATCAAATCATGCACAATAACGGAGTAAACCAGGAGCGACGCTTGTTATATATTATCATCTCTATACATTAGAATCTCAATCATACTCAAACAAATTCACCAAAGTGTGGTTTTCAATCTGCTAACTATGCATTCCATAATAGCCTGTAATTATTAAAAACTGACAAGAAAGCTACGCCACCTGTGTTTATGTGAAGCCAGGTAATGAAAAAAACAACAACGCTGTCATCACCTCTCAATTCCTGATTGCATTATCAAAACTGTAGCTGAGTTTGGCATCTGGGTGTGACCTTGTTAACTGCTAGGGTAATTAAATTTATTCTATTGGGAAAAGGGATGATAAATTATTAGCAAGAAGATTTTGTTCACATTTTATTAAATTGGCCTGTCAAAGGGTCGGCCAAATTATCAAGGGCCTCATTTATTGGAGGCCAGCCATATTGCCACATCTGTTACAATTATTTATAATTTCAGCAGTTGAAAACCAACTGAGTTAGGCATCCGCCATGTAAAGTAATTTACAAATTATCTGATGAGGGTTTTAGCTTCTCCCTCATTTCTAGCCAGCAGAAAGCCGCACTGTAATTACAGAACACGATTAGGTTCTTTGGGGAACTTATCTTGCACTCATAGCCATAGTAAGATGCCGCAAGAACATATGGAGGAGCTTGTGCTGCTACTCCCTGAAGCTCGTGACCCGCCTGCCGCTGAGCCCTCGAGTTGAATTTGAATGAGAGTGCCATGGCTAATGTTCTACACATGCACCATTTATGCCACAAAACAAATCGGATCACTGTTAATTATGAAGCAGCTATAATCAGGTCTTCACATCTGTGTAATGTGAAGCGCAGTAGGCTCTATTCCAATAATGTATGACTACCTTTGGGTCGCAAATTGTGAGCCATATTGCCTCAGTAGTAGTTACTGAATTCAAAGCAAATCCTTTGATAAAAGCCCATCACAGGGATATTTTTATCCAGATTTGTTTTTTAACACAAGCTTCTCTTTATCAGCTATTGACCAGAACAGTTAAAGCATATGGCAAAAGTTCATTAATGAACGGGAGCACACAGCACTCTAATTTAATGAAACCACTTGAGCCATAAAATCAGATCTACTTAATTCTCTCTTCCTTTTTAGTTCCTCTTCTGCATCTAGCCTAAACCCTGAACTCTTAGCACAATATCATGAGCAACCCGAATGGGGAAAAAAGCGAATATATTTATAAAAGCTGATTTGTAAGAGGCTCCATGACTTCAATAAACCAACACTGACAAAAAAATAAGATGTTAAAAAAGTTCTTTTTCCACAACATTATTTTTAATATAGAGCAACATAAATTATTAGGGCACACATCATTTGTATTTTAAAGAGTATTCTCTAGCAGCTGCTTTCTAACAACAAAAATGCTCTTTATTCCATGAAAAATCTTTCTGTGAAAAGCAGCTAAACAAGCTGCACCCAGATGGCAAACCAGCTACAGTTTAATTAATCCACTAAAAGCCATTCAGTTTTCAGTAAGGGTAATGTAATTTTGAATAATTGTAGGGGAAAAAATTACTAAAACGTTCTTAAGTTTTATTATAGCGGCATGAACACTGCCACTATAGAGTAGTTAAAGTTGAGTTGCTGTTTCCATAATAAAGCCCTGCACTTTCCCATTCTTACTGCTTGCCTTTGCTTTGAGTGGGAAATGGATATTCGCTTTGCTGGCTTATTAAGCATATAAACATTTAAGCTTCACCAACAAGTCCTGAAGACAGAAACTTCGGATACGGCACTTCGCTACTGGCTTGAAACTTCTTATTGGATAACAGAATTCAGTCAAAAGGGCAGGGGTGGGGCTTGCATGCTAAACCGCTCCTAGAGATGGTAAAACCCAACACTTGCAACCTTTTCAAACTATGTTTCCTATCGTGCACCTTTCTACATACAATAATGTTGCTGATACACTGCTCCCAGCAGCCCTGTTACCATTAACAAAAAATGGTTACTGCACAGAGACCCTCCACATTTATTTGAACATGGGATATTCCTCACCTTGCAATAGAGAACTGTCTATGCATTCCACCTATGCAAACATACCACATTGCAGGGTTGGGAAGCTACTAAAGTCAAATAAAACGGTTCTAAACATCACATGGCTGAAACCGTAAATAAGAGGCAAAGGTCAGAAATGCTTAATATCAGCCTTGTATTCAGCACATTTAGCTGAATACTGTCTCTGCAAATATTTTGCTAGCGATGTGAATGAAATTACTGAAATGAAAGTTAGAAATGATAACTCTTTCACACACACACACACACACACACACACACACACGGGTTACTATAGGGGTGCTTATGCAGAAGATAAAATGTGTATGGATTACTCAAGAACATTATCCTAAGTACTATTATTTGAATCAGCAGGATTATCATTTGCATTTCTCAAAGGAAATAAATACATGAATAATACTCATTCCATGTGTTCACAAACCACAGAGTAAATTTCACTATAGAGGTTTTTTCCAAAGGGACAGGGTTGAAATAGGAAGGATTGGGGGGGGGGGGCAAGAATCATAGCTGATTAATCTTATGGGTTTAAAACAACTGATTAAAAGAGGTACACAATTTTACCTGAAGAACTGACCACTTTGAAGAAGGGAAAGGTATTTTTTGTTTTTTACATTAAATTCACATAACAACCTTAAAAAAAATAAATGCAGGAATATGCCCATTGATCCAGAATTTCAAGATTATTTCAGGAGAAACAGCAAGTTTGTTTGCATTTTGTGACCAGCGCTGCTAAGCATGGGTCAACTCAAGCGGGGGGGGGGGGGGATGGCAGGAAACTGGACCAGGGAGAGGATGGTGCAAGTCAGGAATGGAAACCCTGGACCACCAACACCCAATGCTGTTAAGGCAGCAACTTCCATCATCACTGACCATGCTAACTGGAGCTGGTGGGAGTTGGAATCCAGAAGCACTTAGAAAGCTACAGGTATGTTATCCCTGGTGGAGAACAATATTAAGCCTGGAAAACTGCTGTTTGTCTTCACAGCAAAATGCTGGTCATGCCTAGTTCTGCACCATCACAGAGCACCAGCAGGTGGAATGTCCTGTCTTAGAAAAGGCATTCCTTTCTGTATGAAAAAATAAGTGAAATGCCTCTCCAACAACAGTGTCCATTCTTCTTGATTTGCATTCAATTTTTTTTAAAGCCTGCTACCCAATTAATTGGAAGCACATTTGAATGGATTGAAGAGTGCATAATCAACCAGTTGGTGGTATTGACCAAACGTTACACCCGCAGGATTTAAAAAGTTAGTCTTCCATTGGAATGTGGAGCTCTCTGGCCTGTATGAACTATGCAGCTGTGCAACCTTGGTAATGGATTGGATGAGAGCCAACAACCTGAAGCTCAATCCAGATAAAACCGAGGCACTGTTAGTGGGTGGTTCTCCAGAGGGGAGGTTGCCTGCTCTTGATGGGGTTACACTTCCTCTTAAGGAGTGGGTACATAACTTGGGGGTACCCCTGGATCCTTTGCTGTTCCTTGAGACTCAGCTGGTGGCTCAGCTATTCCCCATTCTGGACAGGGATAGCCTAACTTCTGTCACCTATGCTCTGGTAACCTCTAGGTTAGATTACTACAACATATGTCGAGCTGCCTCCGAAGCCAGTTCAGAAACTTCAGCTGATACAGGATTCGACGGCCAGGTTACTCACTGGGGCAAGACAGTTAGAGCATATTACGCTGATCCTGGCCCAACTGCACTTGCTACCAATTAATTTCCAGTCCCAATTCAAAGTGCTGGTTTTGACACATGAAGCCTTAAATGTCTCAGAACTACAATACCTCAAGGACGGCCTTTCTCCATATGAAGTGACTCAGACCCTGCAATCATTACCTGAGGCCCTTCTTCGTGTGCCCCCTCCATGAGAGGTCCAGAGGGTGGCAACGTGAGAACAGGCCTCTTTTGTGGTGGCTCCCTTTTGTGGAATGCTCTCCCCAGGGAGGCTCACCTGGCACCTTCTTTACATATATTTAGGTGCCAAGCAAAACATTTCTCTGTAACCAGGCATTGGGCTGATCAAACATTTTATGGCCTTTTAAATGTGTTTGTGGGAGGGGGGTTATTGGTTTGTTTTAGTTTCATTATGTATTTTGTGTTCTCATTTTTTGTGTGAACAACAACAACAACAACAATGCAAGTGCTGCAGAAAAATTTAACTTGGTTGATGCTTGATTGTTTTATGGGTGCATGGTGTTATATCTACCAGGTTGTTCACTTGGACAGTGGGATAATTAAAAATACTATTTGCCAACAATTTTTCTCTCACCTCTTTTCTCTGTTTTGAAGGACTTTCAGGTTTTGAAAACAGAGAGCTGAGAGCCTGTTGAAGTTGTTCTTCCAGCTGACTGATATGTCGTTCTTTTTCAAGTAGTTGGTTCTGGAGAGAAGCTTGACTTTGCCGGAGCTCCAACTCACTTGCTTTGAGTTTCTCAAAACATATGGTCAATTCATTGTAAAGCTATTTTAAGATTTAAGAAATTTAAGAAAAATTTAAGATTTAAGAAAAAGTGTCATTATGAACAAGAGCACATGTTCATAAATATGCAACTACTAGAGTGTGAAATCTAGCAACAAAATTCAGAGAACCAGTATAATTAAAACCATTTTCAACCGTTGTAAATGCTGATCCCACTCTGCCAGATTTTGTTTGAGACAGAGTTCCAATGCCTTTCATCAACACATAGAAAGAAAATGCTTGACACTGGAACTGTAGTGTACTACCTATAGTGTACTTAGCTATATTTTACACTAAGTAAATCTACAGAAGCTATTCTGCATAAAACTATCTTAGATGTAACAGCTTGCAACAATATTATTCCATAAATCTAAATTCTACACTACTAAATGAAGGCTATAGGCCAAACCAAACATGACAGAAGCAACCATTTCTATCACATTGACATATAAATTGGGTGGGTCTAGTTTTTATAACGAAAGGTGACAGCACGTGAAAGGACCTGAATCCACCTGAACTTAATCTTGCCGTGCTCTGGCACACTTCCAGTATCAGTACTGCCCTGGGAGAAAAGAGCCGGAGATTCCTAAAATGCAGGGACGGAAGGGAGAGGGAAAGGGACAGAAAAGGAACTTGCCTCTGCAAATATCTCCTACAGAAATTAGACCACATCTACTTTATTCATGAATGGAACAGACACAGCAACAAGACAAATGCAACAAACATTTTTTGCCTTCCAGGGCTACTTTGGTCCTAAGAACATTAACTCAGCTTTAGCTTGATGGTTACAGTTTCACATGTCACGGGTTATGGAAAATGGATGGGTAGGGCTTGTGCATACAAATGATTTTTTCTAGTTTCTATTTAATATTTGCCCCCCCCCCAAAAAAATACAGTTCTCTGTTAACTGAAGCTACTGTATAACAGAATACTATTTCCAAGCTCTTTCCTGCACCACAGTAGCTTACTGTTATTTACATAGAAGCTAAGATGATCAGGTTTCTCTAAGCCATCTAACTTGTCTGGATAAAAATATTAAAGAGAATAAAACAAAACAAAACAAAACAAAACAAACCTGCAGCTACCCAGCAATGCAAATGTCTACATTTGCAAAAGGCCCAACAAGTTTTCATCCTCCAAATGGCTGAAACCAGATAACAGACTTTATATTCCCCTAACAAATCAAAAGTGCAGTATTCCAAGACAACTGTCTCCCTTGCATTAGTGTGCTGGCTGGAAGAACTAGATAAGGACTTGTCAGCCACTCTATAGGCAAATTCACAGAGGAAAAGTCTTCTACGTTTCCAAATGGCATTGAGCCTATCAGCATGTACGTCCTATGATATATCGTCCCTTATAGCAAGATCAATGACCTCTGTTAGTGGTCAGATAGCCCATATGCCCAGAACCTCAGGTCATGTGACTCACTGGCATATCATTTAGGAAATAATGGAATTTGCACAGACAGACCAAGTTTATTAGGTCATACTTGATCCCATGGCTTAAAAGCTACTGCAAGCTGCCGCCTTGAACAAAAGAAGATAGGGCATAAATTGAAATAAATAAAGCTGATCTGACAAACTTGCTGCACAATTCTGCATATATGCCTACTCGGATGTAAGTCCCAATGAGTTCAATAGCACATACCGTAATCCCAGTTGTGTGTGTATGGGATTGCAGCTTCAGGAGTGAAGGCAAATGATTGGTAATCTCATGTGATATACACAGACACAGAAAGCTGCCGTATACCATGTCAAATGATTGATCCATCTTCCTTTGTATCGTCTACCCTAAACTGGCAGCAGGTCCCCAGGGTTCAGATGGGAGGCATTCCCAGCCTGACCTAGAGACACCAAGGGTGAAGCCCTTCCCTGCTTCTGAACAATACAGTAGTAGGCTGTAATCAGGCTGTGAGTAAGCAACTGAACGTTTGAACATTCCCATCTGCCCAACATAAAAAAAATCCTGAATGAACAAACACATATGAACAAACAAATCTTACATGTCAAAAAGAGAGGCTCTAGTTACCCAAATCTTTTCTATGATGTGTTAGTATTTATATATCCAGGATTTGTTTTTTTGTGTGTTTTTAAATATAGGAAATATTCAGTCTAAAGGTTTTTATGCGTTCAGACATTTTTGGTAATCTTGAATTCTTGAAATGCATGACATAAATGCATAGTATGATTATTAATTCTCCACCTATATTTTAAATTTGGACAGTCTTGCACCAGATTAATCACATGAGCCCATTCACGCTTGTATCATGCTCTTAGATATAACATCTTGAGAGGCTTATAAATACATATCCAGACATAACTACAATGGAAAACATCTCCAAACTCTCAGGCGTTTTTGTAGAACACAGTCTAACCAATGATCCCAAGTTAGAAAAACTGGATGTAGGCATTCAGTTCCACACTAATTTCAAGATGGGCTACACAACACTACTTCCCCTCAGTCCAAATATTTTAGGTTAGTGGGTTTATGGAAACTCATTGACATCTATTTTATACTGTATTTATAGCTCTTCTTCTCAAGAAAAGGAATTATTTTCTAAAAATGTATACCAACTATTTCACTGGTCCCAGACACACCAAGTGCTCCAGTAGCATGCTGGTTTTAATGAGACTCAATAGATTTATCCTCACCTAAGACTCAAGGTGGTGAGTCTTAAATCAATACTAAAGATAATAAGACAACAAGAGTTTCTCGGTCTCCAGACTACCTTATCAGCACACTCTGAAATTTACAGTTTAAAAGTTTTGTTTCAAAATGCAGCACTTCCCTTCAGCGAGGTCTTGGCTGCCTAGCTATTTATTAATTGGTCTGATTGAAAATCTCATAAAGGAAAGCTTTCTCAATGGTCCAAAAGTAACATTGTTTGCTCCCAAACAGGAAACTAAGTTTAAATCCTAGACCACATCTGTGTTTCCTCTATCTACAGAAATTGGGACCAGCAACACGGATAAACAAAGTGTCTTCAGTGTACTCAATCAAGTGTTGTTTTTCAAAGCTTGCTCAAATGAGCTTGATAAACCCGAAATGAACTTGACCAGCTCTCCAAATATAAATCCATGGTCACATCATTAGCTTGAAAGGACATCACACTTGTTTGTCCGAAGCCTAGAGAAAGAAGGAGAACAAAAACAGGCTTGACTTTCCAAGTGGATCAAGAGAGCAGATTTTATAAGGAATGAAACAGATAATTAAACAATCGGTCTGTAAGCACTTAGAAAAGGATGCTGTGATAACTAAGAGCCTGCAAGAGTTTCTCAAAAACAGGTCATGTCAGGCAAATCTTATTTTTTTGATAGAGTTACTAGCTTGGCTGACAGGGGAATGCAGTGGATGTAACGTATCTTGATTTCAGTAAGGCTTTCAACAAAGTCCCCCATGACAGTCTTGCAGAGATGGTGGTGAAATATGGGCTAGACTATATTACTATTAGTGGATTTGTAGCTGTTGACTGACCAAACACAAAGAGTGCTCACCAATGGTTCCTTGTCATCCAGGAAAAAAGTAAGAAGTACCACAGGGTTCTGGCCTTGGCCCAGTGTTGTTCAACATCTTTATAAATTACTTGGATGAAGGAATAGAGCAGATGCTAGTCATTATTATTGTTTTTTACACTAAACTGGGAGGGATAGGTAATACCACAGAAGATACAATCAGGATTCAAGATGCCCTTGACAGATTGGAGAACTGGGCCAAAACTAACAAAATGAATTTCAATAAGGACAACTGTAAGTGCAGACAGCAGGAATAATCAGTTCCACAAATATAGGCTGGAGGACACCTGGCTTGGAGGCAGGACATGTGAAAAGGATCTAGGGGTCTTAGTAGACCACAATTTGAGCAGTGTTGATGCACCAGCAAAAAAGAAAAGAAAAAGCTAATGCAATTCTAAGCTACATCAACAGAAGTACAGCATCCAGATCAAAAGAAATAATAATACCATTGGGGAGGCATGATTATAACCTTGCATATGAAGACTGCTGATTTTGACAGGTATTTTACTTTTCAGGCTGCTGACATATTTAGGTTTTTGTAAACCTTCATTGGCTTCTAACCTGCTGTCTCTGTTCCTAATTTTAATTTTAATCAGTTTTACGCTGTTTCTTGTATGTGATAAAGTGCCACATAGTGTTCATTCTGCAGGAAACTGAACCTTTTAGTGTGGTAGCACCCAATCCTTGCAACTCCCTTCCCATTAATATTAACCATGTGCCTTCACAATATTGTTTTCAACGGCTACAAAAACCTCCCCCCCACACACACACATAGCAAGCCCACCCAAACATGTAATTTTGGTGTGCAATTTTAAACACACAATTTTATTAAGTATAACTGCTTTGAAAATTCTAGCGTTTTTTAATGTAAGTTGTTCTACATGTTCGTTTTATTTGTTTTGTTAATGAATATTTTAGATTGTCTTTTATAAATCTCAGTTCTGTGTTGATCAGACCACAACCAGAATACTGTGTCCAAATCTGGGCACCACAATTTAAGAAGGAAGTTGACAAGCTGGAATGTGTGCAGAGGAGGGCAACCAAGATAATGAAGGGCCTGGAAACTAAGCCTTAGGAGGAGCGCTTGAAGGAGCTGGGTATGTTTAGCCTGGAAAAGAGGAGACTGAGAGGAGATATGAGAGCCATCTTCAAATATCTCAAGGGCTGTCACATGGAGGAGGGAGCATGCTTGTTTTCTCCTCCTCTGGAGGGTAGGACTCAAACCAATGACTTCAAGTTACAAGAAAGGCTAATCCAACTAAATATTCAGGAAAAAACTTTCTGAGAGTAAGAGCTGTGCAGCAGTGGAACAGACTCCCATGAGAGGTGGTGGACTCTCCTCCCCTGGAAGTTTTTAAGCAGAGGTTGGATGGCCATCTGTCATGGATGTTTTAGCTGAGATTCCTGCATTGTAGGGGGTTGGACTAGATGACTCTTGGGTCCCTCCCAACTCTATGATTCTATAGTGTAAGTGGTGTATACATTTTGTTAATTAAAATAAACAGATAAAAGAAGAAAAAGAAACACAGCAAACTGGTGCACACTGATTGTGCTATATTTTTCCCCGTCTGGAAACAGGAGTGTCGAATTATATGTCCTCCCTTCCTCAGCTGCAAAGAGAAAGATGTCAATAACAGTGTGGTAGTGATGAGGACAGGGACACAGGTGGCACTGTGGGTTAAACCACATAGCCTAGGACTTGCCGATCAGAAGGTCGGCGGTTCAAATCCCTGCGACGGGGTGAGATCCTGTTGCTCGGTCCCTGCTCCTGCCAACCTAGCAGTTCGAAAGCACCTCAAAGTGCAAGTAGATAAATAGGTACCGCTCCGGCAGGAAGGTAAACGGCGTTTCCATGTGCTGCTCTGGTTCACCAGAAGCGGCTTAGTCATGCTGGCCACATGACCCGGAAGCTGTACGCCGGCTCCCTCGGCCAATAAAGTGAGATGAGCGCCGCAACCCCAGAGTCGGTCACGACTGGACCTAATGGTCAGGGGTCCCTTTACTTTACCTTAGTGATGAGGCCAAGGGCAGTGATGGAACAAGCTATTTGCCACTGACCTTCAAATGACTACTCACACAAGTCCAACCACATATTGCACTTATAGTGAAGGTGACACTTTTGCAAAGCTTTGCCCTTGTAAAGAAGGAAACGCACTTTCGGAGCGCCTACATACTTTTTGATATGATATTGTTTCAGCTGTGTGAGCATCTTCCTGAGTTCTCAGTACTTTTTGCGTATCCATATTGAGAGCCTGAAGCTGCTGGATCAGCTCTGCCTGCTGTGCTGCATGTTCAGTGTTTTGTTTGTAGAGATTCTGCAGCTCCTGCAACTCCTTCCTGTGCAAAGCAAGCAAGAAACAAGAAACTTGAGCAAAAGAAATATTGCAATCATCTCAATTAAACAGTTATGTTAGCTGTTTTTATGGGAAAATCTTCCACTCTCATCTATCGTTTCAGATTCATTGAGTGATAAGAAAGAGTGATAAACTAAAAAGAAAAGAAATATAAACTGTAATGTCAGTTTTCATTTTAATTCATTTCAACAATATGAATGGTAACATAAATGGTCTTCAACAAGTTCTCACAGAAACACTTGCAGTTCTCCTTTCATTATTCAATATACTTTTTAAAGCAAAAACATAAGAAGGGATACATGCAGGTGACTTTCACTGTTTTTATTCATACCTTTTTTGATTCCTGATAAAATATGCTTGCAGTGAAAATGTCCTACTAAGGAGTTTATGTAACAGAACACATAACAAGGGGACAGTAAGAACTAGTCCAAAGAGGTGTTGTGAAACTTCTTGTGATGTCTAAGGAATTTGAAAGACCCACCTTATATCAGGCCAAAGACAGGGGGTAGAATTCAACGTAGTGCTAAGCAGATCACTCTGCCAGTGCAAACATTTCTACTTGTCTGAAATCAATAAACATGACTATGCTAGACCGAATAATATTAACAGGTCTATTCTGTGCAAAACTTTGTTGAATACCACTCAAAGAAGGCTTAGCTTTTGAATTTCTGATTTTCCATTCTACTATATAGCAAAAATGTTTAGCAATTCAGAATTTCCTATGAGAGCAGATATGTGATCATTAAAAGCACAGCTAAAAACAGTGGTTCAGTTTGATTTATATATTTTGATCTTGCTTTTTATTTTACTGTATTCTTTGTATCTATTTAGGATCTTAAGATTTTAAAAATTTAAAATCTTAGTTTCTCTTTATTACAGAGGAACAACATTTTGTGTAGATTTACCATATGAATCAGGTACTTAATGCCATTAAAATGGCAGGCTGTTTACAGAAACAAACAGACAGAAACATTGTTATGTGTCCATTTAAACCCAAAGGAGGAAAGAAATTCAGATGACAGGGACATGAATTATGTAACAGAACAAACAGAAGACTCAAGAGAATTAATATGCTAACAGATAGTTGACAAAACAATGCCTTTTACTACTGGAAGAATGAAAACATATGCTAGATGCTCAGTAGCATAAAGGCAGCCAGTGGAAATTATGACTCCCTACTAGTGCAACTGTTAAAACCTGTGAGGCAACGTTATGCACTAGCTACAGTTTCTAGACTGCCTTCAAGGGTAACCGATATGGAGTGCATTACAGTAATCCAAATGGGAGATCTTGGAGCAAGCAAAACTGCCACCAGGGAATCTCAATCCAGGAATGACCACAGCTGCTGAACAAACCTGGGTCTCTAGCAAAGTTATTGGGTTTAGGAGCATTCTTGAACTACACACTTGCTCCTTTACAACTCCCTCCAGAAAAGCCCAAACATCCAATTCTCAGACATGAGAACTGCCCACCAACAGTGCCGCCATTTTGTCAAAATGCGGTTTCAGTTTTTTGGCCCTCTTCCAGCTCGTCAATGCCTTCCAGTACCGGGTTTGGATGATATGTAGATACAGAATACAGATAACGTTAGCTATCAGTGTATTGGTGCTGCAGACTCTCAGTCTCCCTGGCAACCTCACCCAGCTCTATATCTAGATGTTACATGGTACTGGGGACAAGGAGGAAACATGTGGGACCCCACAGCGTAACTGCTATGAAGGCCAAGCAGAAGTAATCCAATGCTATTCTCTGAAGTGGCCCTGTAAGAAGCAGCAAAACACGTTAACCCTGTGACCCCAACCATTGGATGGGGGGGGAGGTGGGGTGATTGTATCAAAAGCCGCAAGGCCAACATACTTGAACTCCCCCATCTCTCACAAAGCAGGTGATCAACCAGATTAACCAAAGCTGTCTTGGTACAAAAACCAAAGCCAGGCTAAAATGGGTGAAGAGAACCTGTTTCTTCGTCCAAGTACATCTGAAGCTGCACAACCAGAACCCTCTTGAGTACCTTGCAAAAGTAGGACTGCATTACTATGAAATACAAGAGAAACTGCCTGTGACAATTCTATATTGACTATTTGGGATGGCTCTTTTCACCCTTGCTGTGGAACAGCTTTCCCAGGGAGGCTAACTTCAGGATATCATTTCAGGAGCAGGGAAAAGTCTTTTTTATTTTCCAATGCCTTTTAATTGACTGCTAGTTTTTAGGCAATTTATCCTTACAACACATTTTTAATCTGTTCAATTTTACTGGATGAATTTTTAATTAAACTTTATTGTAGGCTGTCTTGTAAACCTACAAATAGGAAGGTCTATAAATACCAGAAAAGAGCACTTTGTGCTATGAAAACTTATGCCACAATTAGTCTGTTAGTATAGTATTTAAAGTGCCACAATAGTCTTTCTTTTAAATAACTAATTCTTCAAACTTGTATTTAAACTTTGGGGTATTTCAAACTCAGAGGGAAGTTCCATGGTGCTAGCGGATGTGAAAGCAACACAGCAAAAATGTGCCTATGTGCAGTCCGCTCTGGATTATATTCATAGCCCAACTTGTACGGTGAAACTATCTTGTGCACAAACTGGATGTGTTATGCCAGTTATAACTTTCCCAACAGTGAGGGGTCGCTTGCTTGAAACACCAATTACAAGTATATCATGTGCTGAGATTCCTGGCACTGGTATAATGTGGTCTGCCCTGCACTTCCGAATGTTTCCATTCTGTATTGCTTATGATCTCCTTGGGGGTCCCCTAAAGAAATGCAAGTAATAGAATGGAGGCTAGATTAACGTTAGCTATTGATTTAAGGATGATGGAACCCACTGGACTCTATGCTGATCTCAAGTTTTCAATATCCCCTCTCCTAATTTAACTTTGTGGAGTTGCTTCAAGGATCTCCCTGTTTAAAAATGATTATTATCATTTCTCACAAAAAAACCCCATGTATTATAATTTGCTCTTTCTGAAGCAAGTATCTGCTCTCAGGTGCTACAACAATGCACTTTAATTAAATTAACATTTCCCTGATGCAGATACCAATGTCAGTAAGATCTGATAACTAAAATGGAATTATTGCCCTTTCTCCCCACTTCTGAAATTTGCCATGGAGGGCACCAGACTGGTGGACGAAGTGAGGATTTTCTATGGGTATGGGTGTGTGTGTGTGTGTGTGTGTGTATGAAAGAGCTTTAGGTCAGGCAGCTGCTCTGTTCATTCCCACAGCTGCTGAAGTCAAAGCCTTCTCCTGCCGAGCGAACTTTCATAGAAAGCACAGTCATTACATTGTAAGAAGAGATAGAGCAGCCAAGCAGCAGGGATGCTGCAGTTGATCACAGGATACTTTTCAAAACCTAGCAGTTTTAATGGAGCCTCGCGAAGACTATAAAAGGAAGAGACCTCAAAGCTCACAATTCCAAGCATTTATCTGCAAATTTCAAGGTTAATGCCCTACAAGTAAATGTCTAAACAACAAAGCAGAACAAAGGACCTGAGCATAAGCGACAGGGTTGCTAGTAAGTGGTTCGCTGCTTCAGCTGTAATTCTGCTGGGTGCAGAGCTCAACTTTGCAGGTTTCTGAACATGCATGGACTGAATAAAGTAGTAATTTTGCCCAAATAATACAAACAAGAAAGGGATACATTTACATTTATCCCAGTTCCCATCATGCAAATACAGAGACTAGGGGAGGTAATTATAAGCAATGACGTCATTCTTCCCCTATTAGTTTTCTGGCCAAGTAATAAAGATAGGCATTGCCATTTTGTGATGTAGCCAACGCAACACAATTTTAGCAGAGGAAGCTCCCCGCAACATATTGGAATAATACCAAAGATCACTGAACACAGATTAATGTCTTAAGCTTTAGTCATCAAGTGGTGTGCACAGTCTAATCCATGTGGGTGACTGAAAATGGGGTTTCAAGTGGTTTTGAGAACCCTGGTTAATTTAGCCATGGTTAACTTAGCTGTACACTGGGGCAGTGCTAATGGCAGCACTTGAAGTGGAGAGTTAATGTGCGGTAGAGGAAGGAGCATCCATTCCTGAAGCTGATTTCAGAATCTGCACATTGTGAGCTGTAGGGAGCCAATAATGGATATGCACCACAGACAATGAAAAGATACAGCAAGAAGTAAAAAGAATTTTAAGTTGGACAATTGGAGAAGCAATATCCTTCGCAGCTTCTCTGCAAAGCAAGTATGTCAGAGTTTCACTTAGGCTCCCATTCCAAGCACCCAGTTCAAAGGAACATTGGTTTTCACACCTGAATTGAATATTAAGTCCTGTGAATCTTAGTGGTTTCAAACTTCAAGTGCAACTTTCCAAAGTTTAATATAAGCAGCTGCCGCCAATCCAGATGCTAGATGTGGCAATTATGAACATACATCATGCCCATGGTATCCGTCATCCTCAGAATAACCCTTGCTGATATTTTGTAGATTTGTCTTACTGGTATACTAACAACAAGTATTGTAGATCTTTCACAGTCATAGTTGTATGTTTATTTGTAGGTACAGAATAAGAGCCTTATAGGGTTATAAGCAATGAATATCATGCTAATTTCTTCAACAGTACTCTCAGGAGATTTCTTGCCCCTTCCTACTTGCATACTGAATTGCATTATCTTTTTCTTTGCTTTGTGCACTGTAAAGACGGACCATTCTGTCACCACCACACAAGTTCCTTAATGGCTACTTATTGCCATGGACATCGTATAGAAGAATTACTGCCTAGAATATAAAGTGCAAATGTTCCAGAGGGGCAGCTGTGTTAACAGTGCAAACCTTTGCATGTTTTGCTTCTGAGTCTCACGATGTCCCCAATGGGTAAACATTCCAATGCCGGCCTGAGGACAGGACTGTTACCGCAGAAACAAGGAGGAGGTTTGTGACACATTAAACGAAGACCTATCGTGGCATAATCTTCCATGGGCAAGAGTCTTCATCACTGCACGCATGTAAAATTGTTCTGAAAGAGCTGCACTGGCTGTCAGATACTGAGCAAAGTTTGAGGTTTAAGCACAGGCTCATAAAGCCCTAAATAACCAGGTGATTTGAGTGAACTTCATTCTCCCACAATGACCAGTTTGATTTCTGTGAACTGTGAAAGCATCCCTCTTAACCAGACCACAGCCTGCAGATGTCTACCTCACAGGGGTGCAGGGAAGGGATTTCACCGTGTGGCACCTCCCTTACAAGTTGATCTCCCTCTGGAGGAGGCCACTGATTATTGGGTTTTTATTCAGGTAGGTAGCCATGTTGGTCTGACGCAGTCGAAATACCGTATTTTTTGCACCATAACACTCACTTTTTTCCTCCTAGAAAGTAAGGGGAAATGTCTGTGCGTGTTATGGAGGGAATGCCTACGGGTGGCGGGGGGGGATCTGCTGCAGTCGTGAGCAGAGGATCCATGGTTCCCCTTCCTTCCCTCCTCCGTGGCTCGCTTTGAAACAGCAAAGCGGGAGAAGAGCCACTGAGTGGGGATGAGAGAGGGACAGAGAGCCTGCTTCTTTAAAGGAGCAAAGGGGGAAAGGAGAGGAGTCACTTACACGAGTGTAAGCGGCTCCTGTCCGGTTGGTTGCTTTAAAGCAAGCAGGCTGTCTGTTCCTCTCTCCTCCCCACTCAGCTCGCTACATAGCAGCAAAGTTTTTCAGCTCGCTAAGCCGGGGATGAGCGGGGAGGAGGGAGAAAAGCAGAGCCTGCTTGCTTTAAAGGAGCAAAGTGGGAGAGGAGAGGAGCCTTCTCCCCTTATACCCCTCTTCTTCATTATTAGCAGCATCCTTCTCCACCCACCCCACGCGTGTTCCTTCTCCCCTTAAACCCCTCTTCTGCATTATTAGCAGCATCCTTCTCCACCCACCCCATGCATGTTCATTCTCCCCTTAAACCCCTCGCCTGCATTATTAGCAGCATCCTTCTCCACACACCCCACGCGTGCTCCTTGTCCCTTGAGTGCTTTTCCTTCCCTCCCCACTTAAAACGTGGTTACAAAGCACGGATCCACATGGATCCTCAGGATTTTTGCACTGGGTCACCCCAAATTCACCATCAGATCACATAGCATGTCCATGGCTACATCTTACACCAAAAAAATCACGCACCCACTGTTGCCTGGGGCCGCAGTGGTGCAAAAACATGGTTACAAAGCATGGATCCACATGGATCCTCAGGATTTTTGCATTGGGCTACTCCAAACTCACTGTCAGATCACATGTCTGTGGCCACAGCATGAACCACAAAACTCATACATCCACTGTTTCGTTTAGAATAATTTTTTTCTTGTTTTCCTCCTCTAAAAACTATGTGCGTGTTATGGTCGGGTGCGTGTTATAGAGCGAAAAATACGTATATAAAAAAATTGTCCAGTAGCACCTTAGAGACCAACTAAGTTTGTTCTGGGTATAAGCTTTTGTGTGCATGCACACTTCTTCAGACACACTGGTTTTTTATTCAAAACAAAAAAAAAATTCTTTCCAGTAGCACCTTAAAGACCAACTAAGTTAGTTCTTGGTATAAGCTTTCGTGTGCATGCACACTTCTTCAGATACACTGGTTTTTTATTCAAAACAAAAAAAAAAATTCTTTCCAGTAGCACCTTAAAGACCAACTAAGTTAGTTCTTGGTATAAGCTTTCGTGTGCATGCACACTTCTTCAGATACACAGTGTGCATGCACACGAAAGCTTATACCAAGAACTAACTTAGTTGGTCTTTAAGGTGCTACTGGAAAGAATTTTTTTTGTTTTGTTTTGACTATGGCAGACCAACACGGCTACCTATCTGTAACTGGTTTTTTTATTGTTATTGTTAAATGTCCTATAAACTGCTTTTGTATTTATTTGAAATGAAAGGTAGTATGCAAATAATAGAAATCCGTCTTCTGTGTGCATGCGCATATATGTTTAAATTCATGCACAGAGAGAAAAGGTACAGAAAGGCCATGGGAGAAAATAAAACTGCAAAACAAAGGTGGCCAACCTGTGACTCTCAAGGTGTTGTTTAACTACAACTTCTATCAGTTCCAGCTACCATAGCCAGTGTGCAGAGATGATGGGAGTTGTAATAACCTGTAGTAAAGAGCGGAAGCAAATGGTAGAGGCATCATGGCATTTCTATGGAAAGCTAAATGTATGCTAGATAAGCACAGTGGCCATTCAGAACATCAGTATTTGGAGATGATATAAGCTCTTTCCAGGCATTATGCCTGAACAGATAATGCCAACTTGAGCAGGGAGCAGCAGCAATATGTGTCGTACCAGCACTATCCAAAAGGTTCCTGCATTGGTGGGATAGCTTCAAGGGGTTCTGAAGTGTTTCCAGGAAAGATGTCTTAGGTTTGGTCCCCTGCTGTGAGGTAGAAAGGAGTGTGGCTCAAGAACAAACTAATTTGCCTAGCCATTGACTGCCAGCTCACATCCAAAATATGGCCACTGTCTGCACAATCTATGCACACTTAATACGGGACATCATCTGCAGCAACACTGTGATTGGTGATTGCGAGACAGTTCCTAGGGGTTCTGAGTGGCTGTCATCATTAATACGTTCCCTCATTTTTCTACTGCTGTTAATTGTGCTTGGACATTTCTTTGGGGACAGCATAAGATTCCAATTATTTACACTGATCTAAGCTCCCGCATAGCAACAGTCGTATTAGCCGAAACGTAAGTTTGCCCTGCTTGTGCTTCTTGGTTCAGACTTGCCTTACGTGTCAGTCATATTTCATACATGCAGTATTAATCCTCATGATCCAACTTAATATGTGAAACGCTCAGATAAAGCTAAAATCACAACATTTTAAACCTTTAGCAGCAGACTCCTGCTGACCTGTCAGACTTAACTCTAATTAAAAAGTGAAAGTTAGGCTTCAAACTTTTGTCAGTTTCGGGCATTTAGCCTCTCAAATTAATTGCTTATGTTACTAATCATATTGATGTTTTGTGACTTGCAGCAGAGACTGAGAACTCTTTGACCCAATGCTAATTAGAGATGTGCAATTTTTAAATAATGTCCATAACAGAAGTCAAAAGGCATTGAGATAGTCTGCGTAAACAGTAGACATTCTAAACTTTTTTCATAATGCGCAAAACATACTACAAAAAGCAAACCATTTGATGTTGCCCCATATTCGTTATCATGGGAATGCTCACAAGCCCTTTATAAAAACACTGCACACATACCTAGTTCTGGCCACATCCAAATCTTTTTGTGTTAGTTCAGTCTGCTTAGCACCCAGCTGAGATGCCAGATCATTGCATTTGCTGTGCAAGGTTTCCATTTGCCCACTTGCCTCTGTTAAATCAGCTTCCAAATTCTGGAAAACATATATTATGCTATAGACAAAATTAAACAAGAAATGGAAGGATGCACATCATTATAACAGGATCAAAAATAGTATGGATTTTTGCGCCTTTTAAAGAAAACAGCACCCTGCTTTTCTGTATTTAGAAAACTCCAAGCTGCGTAAAAGAATTTTTAAAAAAATGTAATTCAAATTACTAAAATCAGCCATAACCAACAGCAGGATAAAACAATTCAACATCAATAGGGAGGTGGAACTTCAACTCACACTAAAAGCTTAGCAAACTAAAATGGTATCTGCAGCTAGATTAAATAATGGTATAGGCAGTAAAACAATCCTCATCACATCATGGAAACTTGGCTCTTTGAATTAAGTTCTGTCTACCAAGAAAACTCTGTGACTACAATTAATTCATAGATAATTAGTTACCGGCTCAAACTAAGAATGGCAAACTCATGGCTCAAAAGTTTCATGTGGGTGCCAAAAAAGAGCTGCTGTAGATGGTGGCTTTTTGTTGTAAATGAAATTAAAACATAGTCTTTTTGCTGCAGAGCCAAAACTGCTTAATACAGGTCTGCTATTCATGATGCAATGATAGCATCCACTTCAAAAAATTAAAAGTAACATCATCACACACAAATTCAGAGCATAACATCAGCTCATAGAATCATAGCAGTGGAAGGGACCACAAGGGTCATCTAGTTCAATCCCCTGCAATGCAGGAATATTTTGCCCGACGTGGAACTCAAATCCATGACCCAACTCTACCAACTGAGCTATTCATTTTCAATGTGATACCTGACCATGTAGACACATGTGTTTTTACAGAAGTCACTTCCAAAGCTAGAAGGTTAAAACCACAATGTTCCTTCCATGAGGAGAAGGACTCTCTCTGTTTGTGGAAAGGTCGCAGAGGGAAGGTGGAATCAGCAAAAATCACTTCCTCCCTTGCTTCCTCTAGCAGGAACATCCCATGAGCAAAGTTCATGGGAACTCTGCATCCAACCTGTAGGAAGAAGCAGTAGTAGACAGATGTGGCACAAAGATTTTTGTTGTGGATTTGACTGCTGATGAAAAATTATCATTGGAAATACAGTATCTGGCACTTTTTAAAAAAAGGGGAAACAGGGGAGCCTTAAGTAGTACCAGTATTGTGAGGAACAATATCAAATTAAATTAGTTCAACAAGAATTCTGCCTCTGGACACCAATGAGACCTGTCACTAGACAAATTTTGGAAAACCTTAATTTTTTTTTTAACAAGGTACAAGCTATCCATGAGAAAACTTAGAAGTGGAGCAATAAACTCTCTCCACCACCACCCATAATCAGATCACATAAATAAGATCAGTATGGATGCACCCAGAGGAGACTGTATTTAATGAATAAGTGCTAAATGAAATCATCACACATTATTTCTCAATGTTTTCTGAAACATTATTGGCCTTGATAAGTTTGCTGGACATCACATAAGAACAAGTCACTGTTGTGAACTGGTATAAAGTCTCCTGGTTTGGGCTTCTTAACTTGACTCACAATAAGGAATTATGTCTTGTTTGGATCAGGTGGAACTTATGGAAAGCTGAGGTGCATCAGGCATAAGGATGCACAGACTCATGGGTTCTTGATGCTCTAGATGCTGACAGTGTCAACTGGCCAGAGGTTCTACCAAGTGCCCCTAGAAAAAAAGAAAAATTCTCTTTTTCCTCCCTGATTCCAGCATATTTCTTCCTGTTCCCCGACCACCGTCATACACACACCTTGCCAGGAGGCTATAGAGTTTTCATATTTCTAGTAACTGCACTAGTTAAAAGGTACGGGCATTGGATTTGGGTTCTCCACAGTTTAGAGAACAGCTGGCTACAGGAAACACTAAGGCATGGAGTCTGTTGCTAATTTCTAGTGGTCGTGACTCTTACCTATTCCAGGGCCACAGAACAGTAGAGAGATTTTCTCATCGTTTATTATGAAAAAGGTTACAGTAGTGTGAGAATGCGATCAATGTGAATTGATTGCCTCCTTGGAGCTTGCTTTAATGAGCCAGTCATGTATACACAGATAAATGTATACATCTTCTTTTACAAATGAGCAGGCAATGGGGTCAGGCATTTTGTGAAACCCTCTAATATCGTAAATAGTTCAAATTGCAGAATTCCATTCTGGGAAATAGTCTGCTAAAGTAAAATAAGCTTTCTGATTTAGATCTCCAGGTTGTCAAGCATATTAACAAGGGGAAAACATCAGCAGAGCTGATAAAACTTCAGATGTCCCAAAAACACAAAATAAGGAATGTGTCTGGTGAGGAACTCTGAAAAAATCCATCCAACATAGCATTCAAAGCATGCTAATGTAGAAGTTCCTTCAAATTACACTGTTTCTTCCTGGAATTGTTTTCCCATATAAAGCAACAGGTTTCCAAATGACTGTCATGGACACATAAGAGGAAACAAACAGAGACTGTGCACAACGAGGAATGCTGACAAGAGATCTAGAAACTAAGTACTGAGAATCAAGGGTTGTGTACGTTCAGTCTGGAGAAGAGACAATTAAGAGGAGACAGGATAGCCATCTTCAAATATCTGAAGGGCTGTTATATGGATGATGCAGCAAATGTGTTTTCTATTGCTCCAGAGCCTGCTGGGTCTCTCTTTTCCACTTGTTTGGGGAAGCTGGGGAAGCTTCTGGAGGCAGTTCTCCAAGTCAGCTGGTTTATCTCTTATATTTGTGTTTTACTTCTAGACATGGACTATTTGTACTTCTTGCATTTGAAGATGGCGCCCATAAGAATTTCCATCTTGGAGTTCAGTTCTTTGATCTGTTGCTCCAAGGGAGTCATTGGGTTCTTTCAGGTTTTGCATAGTCCATGAGAGAGCCTCGGATGGCTTCTTTCAGTTTCAATTCAAGTTCCTCCAGGTTCTGTTTTGGTACTGTTGCGTATTCACTATCTGGGGAACTTGTCTCTTTGGTTTCTGTCTTTCCCTTAATCAATGCCATTTTGGTCTTCTTGTTGACCTTGGACTAGATCTTGTGTGGTGTCAATCTGGGGCTGGGTGGTTTGGTAGGTTTCTTTGTGATTGTTAAGAGGTCATTCAGACTGTGTTGCTTGATGGCTTTCTAACCGTAACCCTAACCCTAGGTTAGGGAGAGCCAGTGTGGTGTAGTGGTTAAGAGTGGTAGACTCGTAATCTGGTGAACCGGGTTCACGTCTCCACTCCTCCACATGCAGCTGCTGGGTGACCTTGGGCTAGTCACACTTTTTTGAAGTCTCTCAGCCCCACTCACCTCACAGTGTTTGTTGTGGGGAAGGAAGGGAAAGGAAAATGTTAGCCGCTTTGAGACTCCTTCAGGTAGTGATAAAGCGGGATATCAAATCCAAACTCCTCTTCTTCTTCTAAGAGCTCCGGGGATCAAGCGACCATTATTGTTGAAGTCAGGCCAGCACTCACTTGTGCCTTTCCATTGGTAAGCTGGGTAACTGGGTGGTCTGAGTTCCCCACGAAAATCTGTGTCAGAGTGTTCTATAGGTCACGGTTCTGGGGTCAGCTTGAGCAGCAGCCATCACCACTCTCTCCTCCTTTTATAAAATACTTTACTGATAATACTGAAGAATGGCAACTACCAAAATCACAGATTAGACTTTGGAAAATTTAACTAGATTAATCTGTTCTGGAGGAGGGAAGGGGGCAAGTTGGGATTTTGTTTTTGTATCCTTTTCTCTCTCTTTTTGTAATTGTTCTATACTGGAAATCAATAAAACTATGTATTTAAAAGACGAGGCCGGCAGAGGGGAAGCTGGTGGGAGCGACAGGAGCAGCAACAGCAACATTTCAAGGCATTTGTGGTATTGGTTTTAGGACGAAAGGGAAGCTGAAGTTATCAAAGAGACAAAGTAGGGGGTGCACAGAACGGATTGAGTTGAAAGAGGGAAAACAGACAGAAAAGATGAAGTGAAGAAAGCCAAGGAAGAGACAAGACATGAGAAATGGTGATAGAAAGAAAAAGATTTAGGAGGCAAAAGAGCATAAGAGCAGGAAGAAATGAGGAGGGAGCAAAACAAGGGAACTAGTTTGAAGAGGCAGAGAGAGTGCAAAAGGTGGGACTTTGGGAGAAGCAAGGTGAGTGAGAAGGAGATTAGAAGAAGCAATTGAGGGGTTCAGGAGACAGCTAGGGAGTAATTAGGGAAATGTGAGGAATAGTATGAGGTGAAACCTAGGTCACTGACACTCCCATCGACACAGCCACACTCCTCATGCAATAGTCATTTTTTCTCCACAAAGAGCCTTGGGAAATGCAGTTCTGAGATTGGGACTAGGAATCTATTAAAGAATTATCCGCAGCAGCACCAAACTACAATTCCCAGGATTCTAGGGGGCAAGCCTCATAAAATGCACTGACACACGCCTGAAATATAGATTATGTCCAGAGAAATAGCAAGATTCACTCAACAACTGCACCATGCCTTAGCAACAAATCTCTATGAGACAAATGCAAGGGTTTAAAGTGCCTAATTTATAAAGCATTCATAGCTTATCTATCTGTGGATATCTCATTTGTGCAAAAGCAACAAATATGCTATAGCTATATAAGTGGAATTTAGTTTTAATAATTCCGATCTCACAGAAGTCTAGATACATCACACAACATATTGCTATAGATATGCATAAACAGATGCTGTAATCTGTATATGTGAGACATCCTAACAAAATGAAAGAGTCAGCATATTTATCAAAATCACTCCAAAGAGTTGTTTGTTTTGAAAGCAAGATGATACAATATAAAAGCTCAACATGCATGGAGCTCTCTAAAGAATGATAGAAATGTATTGCAAAGTTTAAGAACAATTAATTACAACATGCTGTAATTCATGACATTAACATTAGAGAAATGAAATGACCACTGCAAACCTTTGCACACTTACCTGGAAGTAAGGCCCATTGATTGCAGTGGGTCATACTTCCAAGTAAACCTGTTCTGGCTGGTGACTGCTGGGAACAGAATGACCCACCTTTGGGTCAGGTCATTTTTATCCACAGGTCTGGGCTGCCAATCTCACCGAGGGGAGAAATCTTGGATAGGATAATTTCTATTTATTATTTTTTTTAAAAACTACATGTTTATATTTGAATGAAATATCTTTTATTATTTAATGATTACATTTTAGGGTGGCTATTTGAAGTCAGCTTCCTGCTTTGCAACATCAATTTTTAAAAAGCTTTGGGTCTTAAGTGAAGGAATGTAAATGAATGTCAGTCCCCATTGGTACTTATGAATATATAACTTGTTATTTAAAGAAAATAACATGTAGCATAAAGCCTGTGAGAAGCTGGTGCCGAAATCACATCCAGGAGTCTCTTCCTCCTCATACCTTTATTTTTGCTTCGATGCCAGATTTTTCTATTCTCCATTGTGCCTCCCGCTTCCTCAGTTTCTCCAGGTCATTTAGCAGGTCAGCATAGCGTGTACTTAATCCCTCATTTTCCTCCTCCAGGTTTTTTATAACCAGTCTGCTTTGCTCTTCCTTTCTCAGTGCACACTCCTTAGTGTCCTGTACAACAGTACCACAAGGGCCGATAAACAAAAACAAAACCAAGGAAAAAGGGAAAGGAAAGGGGGGGGAGAGAAAAGTGAGAACTAATCAGCAAATATAAACTGTGCAGTTTTACCCTCGCAGCAGCTTCTTCTATATTTGATGGCCAAGGTCACCTGTGTACTTTTATTGGCCTCTTTCATGCAGGTGGAAGGGTCATATTTTTTAGCTGGATGACAGCTTTGATGAGTACACATTTGCAAAGAGCCCATTAATTGATCAAGCTGCCTTTGATGCTGTCCCCAGCTATTTTTGAGACCCACACAGACATATCCTCCCAGACCTCGGCTTTATCAATTAATAATGCCAGTCCCATCAGAATCTAATTACACGAAGCCACATCTTCACACTCCTACTTTCTTTGCTCCATTTCCATCATTAACTATTTATTCAAAAGTTACAAAGCATGGATTCTTCACTTTAAAGCATCTTTCTCCGAGTTTTGCGCGTGAGAGAAGACTGGAAGGTACAGCCTAAGGCCTAAGGCTATATTTCCTCTGAGCTTGTCACTTTCCATGCCACAAAGACAGATGCAGCTCAAAGAGCTACTTCAAAGCTGTGGCCATCTTAGTACTATGTACGAGTCAATATACCTTAAGTTCCTGGATTTTATCTTTACATTTCTGTTGGAAGATGCAGAGCTCTGTCTTCAAGACTGCGTTTTCCTCATCCACAGCAAGCTTTCTCTGTACCAGGTTGTTTATCTCCTCTTGTTGCCCACATGTTCTCTAAGAAAGATTGTTTAATAATAATGATGATGATGTGAAAATCAACACATTTCAAAATTTCATTTTCCAGGCAGCAAAACCATTTGCAGTTTTATCTAATCTGTCCTGTACCTGCAGCACAGTTTTGTGACAAACACAAACATTTTATCATTAACCAAACCAATTATTACATTACTATTTGGCATATCAAAAAAAGAGGGATTTGAAACTATTGCCTGAACGTAAGGATCCATTACATCATAAATTTGTGCAAATGAGGAAGATTTTCGTTTTGCTGAAGATGATTAAATACCCAGGAGCCAGAAACAGAGGATACAGATGTTCATCAGGCAATGTCCTAGTCCAACTCAAGATTTTTTTTATTTAAAAAAATGCCAGGGAGTCAATGGGTATCTTGGGTTGATGGAGTTACTTAGGAGCGTACTGCCACCGGAACACTCCAGCCTGCACCAATTTTGGCTTGCCATACTAGAAGCAGCATACAGATTTCTGCCCAGACAGCTCCTGACCAACTGAGTGGGGAACAATTTTGGCCTGGCAGGTCAGATCTTTATCTGTCCCCATTCCACAGTCACTTGCTGAAAATGAAAACTGTTATGTACTGAAGTTCTCACCCTGGGACAGCAGGGGGATACTGTAGATAGTTATGCAAATGAAGGATCGAAAAGTGACGTTCAGTGATTGGATAGTTTGTATGCAAATGAAGGATTGAAAAGTGACGTTCAGTGATTGGATAGTTTTAGAAAATGGCAACAGTTGCATTGTTCTGGAGCTCTATATACGTAAGCTGACTGAGCTCCTCAGCCTAGTTCTGTTCTGGCATCTGAATAAAGAAGAGCTGTTTAAAGAATCGCTATGTCGTCTGACATGTTCGCCCACAACTTAACAAAAACAATGTTGGAGCATGAAGCACCTCAGAGAGGTGGTCATTGCAAAGGTGTGGAACGCTGCCACCTACCCCTGCACCACAGCAGGTCTTAAAGCACAGGTAAAGGGACCCCTGACCATTAGGTCCAGGCACAAACAACTCTGGGGTTGTGGCGCTCATCTCACTTTACTGGCCGAGGGAGCCAGCGTACAGTTTCCAGGTCATGTGAGCAGCAGGACTAAGCCGCTTCTGGCGAACCAGAGCAGCACACGGAAACGCCGTTTACCTTCCCGCCGGAGCGTTACCTATGTATCTAGCACAGGTAGGCTAGTATATTTCACATCTTTGGGACACATTACTTCAGACTTCCAACGTCACTGTGAGCACTTTTAGTGTGGATCTCTGTAAAAATCGGGGTTCCAAAACACAAAGGAAGCCTCCACAGATGAACACGGAATTTGCCCTAAGCATAGCTTGCTTAGTCAGTAGAGCACAACACTCTTAACCTCAGCGTTGTGGGTTTGAGCTCACATTGGGCAAAATATTCCTGCAATGCAGGGATTTGAGCTAAATGGTCCTCAGTCCCTTCCAACTCTACAATTCTATGATTCTGTGATCTATGATTACTACACTGCATGTCACACGCTACCTCCCTTTTTCTCTTATCCTATATTACCCCCTTCCAAGCTTTTGTTCTCTCCACATCCTTTTTGTACCCCCTTTTTCTTCTTCTAATCTATTCCTCTCCCTGCACCCCATTTCTATCCCCCCCCATCCCTATTCCATCTCACTAAGTTTAGGGACAACAGCACACAAAATTTCTCCTTTCCAAGCAATGCACACCAGACACAGGTGAGCCATGCAACATTGTTAGCTGGCAGCAATAAGATGAAAATAAATGGCACTAATTCCACCATATACTTCTAAATCCAGCGAGATTAAAAGCTCTACAGATACCGTCGTACCTTGGAAGTCAAACGGAATCCATTCCAGAAGTCCGTTCAACTTCCAAAACTTTTGAAAACCAATTGGCGTCTTCTGATTGGTGTCAGGAAGCTCCTGCAGCCAATCAGAAGCCACAGAAAAATAACATTTGCAAACCTGAACAATCAAAATGTCTGAGTTCCAGGGCGTTCGGGATCCAAGGTACGACTGTATAGTGAAGCAAGTAGGATTAGATAGATGGTCCTACACAGATATGAAAACGCAATGAAAACAACAGGCATTCCAACTCCCCCCAGAAAACTGCAACAGATGGGAAAAGGTCACAATTTGCCCCCATGGGCCTTTATCCTGTGGAGGCTTGGACTAGACTCTAAAGAAGAAATCATGATGAATAGCTATGAGCGAAATACCCTTTTCAGCAGAGGCACGGTCAGATTGGGAGGGGCAGACAAGGTTCCCCACTCCAATTCTGGCTATTCAGCACTTCGGCTGATGATTGTACAGGTCTCTTTTAAGCCTTCCAAAAATCATGTTACATTTCTTACAATTGCTCAAGAGTTGCATGACACTTTGCAACTGTCTCTTTTTATCATGATGAAATATTCCCATTTTGCCAGTAACATTTTATTGAGGTTCCATCTTTCAAAAAATATTAATATTACAGTAATTTCTTCTACAATATGATTTTAATTTAATCAAGGTATAGAAAATTGAATTAATAAATAGGCTAGGTAAAAGTTAAGAACGAAATGTATTAAAGTTAATTAATGCTCGAAGCTAGAGTTATGTTTCTTTCAATTGGACCTATTAAAGGGGGCTTTAATATAGATTTGCACAGCAAGCCAAAGATTTTCAAGTGGAGATAATGAGGCAGCTAGTACTGTTTTAACCCCTCTGGAGTATAATTGGTTGATAAGGTTTTGAAAGATTACAAGGTCTAGGACAAAAAGATTAGCTTTAGTCTCTTCAGATCAAAACTGAAAGCTAATTAAATAACAGTGCTATAAAAAAAGAAGGTAAAGGTTTACTGTACTTTTATTCATCCTTAATTTTCATCTCCCGAGAAAAAACAAATGATCATATTTTCTTTACATTTTATTTTGAGACTACTGTGTGGACTACACAGGAGGAACAAGATTTACATTGTCAACTGAGATAGTATTAAAGCCACCAACAGACATGGACAAACCTAAAATGTGGACATGATAATTTCTGTGTCACCAGGAATTCTTTGTATCACAAAGGCACTGTGTAGTCATTTTGACTTTTTTATATTGGATCAGATTGCTACTATTCCTGTTTGATGCTTTATTATGTTTTTATACATGTTGGAAGCTGCCCTGAATTATTGTTGTTGTTGTTGTTGTTGTTGTTGTTGTTGTTGTTGTTGTTGTTGTTTTGGGCACAAACATTGCTGCCATTTATATGTTCCATGGTTCGCTTATTGCATTTATTGATGGAGACACATAGCTTAGCAATGGTTAGGGTCTTTTGCATAGATTAAAAATGTGCAGTTTGAACTAATCCTAAAAGGGAAAACCTTTGAAGAGGTCAGAGTCAAAGGTATGGGTAGGGCTTTATTTAGTGTTGTGTATGGGAACAGAGTGTGGGACTCAACAAAGCCAGATCCAAATTCAAGCCTTTAGGCAGTCCCAAAGCTCAATGGGTGGCCTTTAGCCCATTTTACAGGTCTTCATGGGTATAAAATAGGATAACCACAGCTAACAATAACAATGCAATGGTTACAATCTGCACATATATATGTACTATTTTCTGCTAGAAGAAAGCCAATGCCTCTCCAGAGAAACACAATTTGATGCATGCCAACATAATTTTTTTCCAAACGCCAACTTCGATTTCCAACACATACACATCACTGATTTCCAGATGATTCCAGTGTAAGCAATGTGGATTAGCACCAGTTTCAAGTATGTGATTACCTGTATTAAACTAATTAACATTAACAAGCCCTGAAACCAATTCACAGAACTTAACGCCATACCACATATTACATTCCCTCCATTGGTTTTCTGATCTGTGTGCCTGCAATGCTGACACATAGTCTTCGCAACTGTGCAAACGCTAAAGCTCATGATTTTGCAAGCACAGAGATTGAACTACAGCTCTTTTTTTATAAAAAAAAACACACTCACAAAATTAGTATTTCAAGATCTAAATATGTGTTCATTTTAAAGTTAAAAAATAAATAAAAGATGTTTCCATTTATTTATTTTGAGATTTATAACCTACTCTATCCCAAGGGCTCAGGGCAGTTTTCTGTTGAAAAATGAGAAACTGATTTTAATGATTTTGCTAACCCACATGTCAAGACGACCAAATGGCAGTTCACAAATAACAAATGCTAATTAGCTACCCAAAAGATGTAACAGAATATTCATCATGAACTGTGGGTCAGCATGCATATACAATGTAGTATTCCTAATGCTACTAGATATAACCCAATCTTCTGTACTACACCTTCGGAACAAATCTTTCCTCACCAATTGCTACAATTATAACCAATGGTTAGATGAAATTAATTTGAAAAATATTAAAACTACCAGAAATGCAGAAACTACCAGAACTAATGAAAGCCAGTTCCTACAAAGCTGCAGTTAGCATTCCAGTTCCCTACACCGGGTGACTATCATCTCAAGGAAGAACATCAGCTCAGGGAATTAGTGAGTGAGTGAGTGCACATCCAGAGCTAATCTGAAGCATGTAAAAGAGAAGAAGATCCAAGCTGATAACATCCTCTCTTGTTTAACCTAACAATTCCTAATAAGCACCCAGTTATTATAATAATTGTTGTTTCAGCTAATGGACATGAATCCAGGAGCAGCTGACACGGTACCCTCCATATATTGTTAAATTACAACCCTTATTGTTGTCTAAGCTGGCTAGAGCTGATGAAAGCTGGGGTCCGACAACATCTGCAGAACACAACACTGGTGACCTCTGCACTACTTGCTACCAACATCATGGGTGTCTTGTTTCTCCACAAATTAACTGCTGTTCTCTCTGTCATTAGAGAGACAACGATAGTTCAGGATGTTAAGGCACAAGGTGTCACTATCTATAGTGGCTGCAGGTTGTCTCCAGGTACAACCACAGTTTTCCACCAGCAACCTATACAATTGCACCCAACTGTAGCAGCAATAGTTCTGAATCAGGGAGACCCAGATTGAGACCCCTGCTTAGCTACAAAGCTCACTAGGTGACCATGAGCCAGACACTCACCCCCCCCTTTTTTCTCTTAGCCTCATCTACCTGAGAAATAATCTCAGGATAAAAACCAGGATAGTCATGCATGCTACTGAGCATCCTGGAAAAGAGGTGAAATGAAAATAAAAAAAGGAGACAAAGTATCTTACTGGATTTTGGTAAACCAGTGCCTCAAAGTGGGTAGGCCTAGGCTGTGTATATGGATGAGAATTAGTCAAGTGCATCTCAAACAGCCAATTGTAAAGGATGCACATGAGGCAAAAGTGACATTGCCCCATGTGGTTGACAAACAACTAGCTGCACAGCTGATTAACGTAAGCCTGCATTAATTGAAGAGGTCACTTGAAAGACATGATGTGGGAAAATATCCTTAGTATTTGATGGTTTCATAAACATGGTATAAGTAGAGAATAAAGACAGAAAAATCAAGATAAGCAACTCTTTTAATGGTTTTTGAGTAGATCTTCTGCTGCATCCAAGTGGCCGAGCTCAGCACTGACAGGTTTTCTGAAAGCTAAATGCTTGTAACAGAGAAAAATGTACTTACTCAAAGAAGTATATTAGTTTTTATGTGTCCACCGCTTCTTTCACTACTGTGATCTGACAATTAGTATGTTTGTGTTTAAGGCTTATTAAGGAATTGCCTGAGGAGGAATCTAAGCCTGCAATTCTATACCTACTTTCTCAGAAGTAAATCCCATTGAACAGATTTACTTCTGTATAAACATGCTTAATCGCTATTATCTGAAACAAATACAAATAATAAATGAAAATATTGCTCCAAAACAACTGCCGCCAATTAGAACTCTCCACCCACCCCAACAACCCATCCCCTCCAACCACATGCACCCCTTGTTCCAATGGCTATACACAAAAAATAAGCACACAAACAAAAATAAGAATCCACCTCCCACACACACAACCCTAATACCCCAACAAACCAGTAAACTTTACACCCAACACAAGCGCCATAAAGGTGCTTGACACAGTCTCACTGACCCACCCCTATCACAAGCAAAAGGGGGGATGGCCTGTTCTCAGACAAGGCCATCCATGCCAGCTGAGACACAGGACCAACCAGCTGGGAGCCAAATGGTCCAAGCTAACAAACAGCTATATACCAAACAAACTAACACCTATATAACTACATATAGGCTACTTTCTATAACCTGCCCCCCAATCTTCAACCCACCCCTAACTCTTAACCCCCTCTTCCCCCACCCACCACACTATATGCCAGCACAACACACTAGGTTTGATAGACAATATAAGGTGAGAAACACAGGACAACCCAGACGGGTTGGCAGGGAATCTTCCTATAAAATAGATATGCAAAATGTCTAGCTTAAAAGCAATTACATTAAACGTCAGGAGATTGGGAAATCCTGCCAAAAGAAAATGCATCACCTCATACGTAAACACCATGAAACTACACATTGCCTACCTGCAGGTGGTACTTAACACCACAGATATGCCCAGGAACCTCACCAAGATGTTAGAGAGGCTGTACCTCCACAGGCACATACCTCCACATGTGGCAGGAATGCCCTAAAATCCAACCCTTCTGGACAGCAGTCCTACAAGAGATATGCAAAATAACTAAACAGGTACAGTGGTACCTCATGTTAAGTACTTAATTCGTTCCGGAGGTCCGTACTTAACCTGAAGCACCATTTTAGCTAATGGGGCCTCCTGTTGCCGCTACGCTGCCGGAGCACGATTTCTGTTCTCATCCTGAAGCAAAGTTCTTAACCTGAAGCACTATTTCTGGGTTAGCTGAGTCTGTAACCTGAAGCGTATATAACCTGAAGCGTATGTAACCTGAGGTATTAGAACTCACCCCAGAACTGGCCCTACTGAACATCTTCCATGATCATAATGATCACTCACATTATACAGAGCTTATAACCCACCTACTCTCAGCAGCCAGAAGCCTCTTAGCCAGACACTGGAGAGACCTGTCAGGCATAAACATGGACCAAGGTATCAAACTGTATGGGAAATGGCCTAACTAGAAATGCTAATCAATGAACTGAAACTGACACGGGGACAAATACAAGAGGACACCTTCACCCAAGTATGACACCCCATTATCACATACACAGCCCAACAAGACAACAACAGGAATCCACCAACAGCATACGAATCAATCTGGCTTACCTGACCCAACAAGCCCTCCTCCCTCACAAATGCAAACAAACCCCACTGCAGACAACCACAGACATCCAACCACACCCTGTCCCCCAATACCTCTCACTACCAAGGAAATGTAATAAACAGATAGAAAGAGAACCTACCCAGCTGACGCTGACACAAAACCCCACAGGTACACTATACAAAATAATATAAGCCTCACCACCCCACCCCTCCTCTCCCCCCTCTTCTTCCCCAACTTTATACTGTACTCAACACTAATGTCTCACAACAAACGTAACTGATTTGAAAGAAAGATTATACAACCTGAAAAAAGAGACAAGGTATGTACCTTTGCAAACCAAGAAAATCTTTAATAAAAATATATATTTAAAAACAATGACAGCTAGTTTTACAGGAGCTGTGCCTTGAAGAATTAGAGTGAAATGCTCTTGCCAACTTCATCAACTGCTACACTTTGTTCATCTCTAGGTTGAAAACTGGGAATCAAAAGTTGGAAACTGGAAACAATATAGAAATACAGTAGGGTTCAGGGAGCTGGATAAGCTCCAGGGTCCTCTAGTAGCTCTTTACACTTTAGGAAACAGAACTCGAACAATAGGGATTAAGCCAAATTAGAAGAAGCAACATTATTCTCACCTGTTAGTTTAAATATAACACTAACCTGTTCCAATGTCTGTATTTTGTTGTCTTTAACTTGTAAAATTTCTAAAATCTTCCTGTCCTTGAGTTCAGCTTTCTGCTTTTCTCTAGAAACAACAAAAATATATTGACACTTATTAGTCATAATTTGCTGCTAATCATTTGAATTTTTCATGTCCTGATAATGAATGTCATTTTAAAGCATGGGAAATTAAATTATCTGAGGCTGACAGCCCTTGCAGTATTAATCATGGAACATATGGCAAGTGACAGCAAATTTTATCTGCAAACAACTAAGACAACTTTATTCTAAATGAAGCAGCATTTATGATACCAAGACTAGATATGCTTACTTTAAAAAAAAGATATAAGGAGTATCTTGCAAATGAAGCCTTTTTTATGAGCACACACACCACACCCCGCTTCCTCATTATTGATATCAAATAAAATCTGGGTTTCATTTTAGGGATATAAAAAGAGCAACAAATTGAGGACCATCGCCATTTTCCCACTGGTAAATGCAAAAGTTATATTGTGCTAAAACCGTCAACAATTGGTAAATTCAGGGCTGAGATGTTTCATTCCCTAATGATTTATTCTCCTCAGTCAAGTTCCAAATTGGCAACCATCCCAACCTGTGTATCATAACTAGGATGATAATATGGGAACAGAAAGAGAAAACAAATGGTGCCAGCTTCTCAGCTGCATTCATCAGGTTTTCTGGTTTACTCTTCATTTAGTTACTGCAACCTGTTTATACAGTTCTTAAACAAATCCTGCAATCAATTGTGCCTCAGGAGTTTTGATTTAGTTGTGGGTAATGTTTGGAGGAATTGTAAAAATTTCCAAATGAAGACTGGCCAGCTGGACAAAGAGCATCTCCACCTTCACAGTTGTCATTTCTCACCTCGCAGTTGCGAGGCGGCAGTTTAGAGACCCAGTCCGTTCACTGATAAGAGTTGGAAAACTGTAGGAAGGGACCCAAAGGGACATCTAGCCCAACCCCCTGGGGATGCAGGAAGGGTCATCTTCTGGCTGAGGGGAAAATGTGCAAACAATGATGGGTTTTTTAGCATGAGAAGCCAAACTCTCAGTAAAGCACCAGTGACAGATTTTAAAAATATGTATATTCTGGAACCTGGATGACTTAGCCAGTGAGGTTCTAGTGTTTCAAGCTGAAGAAAGTGGTCATTGCTGTTCTAAAACACTGAGTTTACTCAACACATACATACTCAATATACAATACAGAAAGACTAAAACCACACACATTTGCATTTTATTCGGTAGATTTGGACCAGAGAGCTTTAGCAACCACATCTTTTATTCCAATAAAGATTGATATATCATCCTACACCTTTTCTTGGCTTGGTGATGTCATTGCTTTCCAAAGTATATAGCAATAGGATAAAATATTATTATTTATAAAGCACCTACAATAAGTGGAAAGAGGGCATGGAAAGAGTAAGATAATTAACTGCATTAATTAAAAATGAATGCACTGGTATACCTAGTGAACCCTGACTTAGCAACTTATGAGGAACGGCTAAGGGAGCTGGGCATGTTTAGCCTGGAGAAGAAGAGGTTAAGGGGTGATATGATAGCCATGTTCAAATATATAAAAGGATGTCACATAGAGGAGGGAGAAAGGTTGTTTTCTGCTGCTCCAGAGAAGCGGACACGGAGCAATGGATCCAAACTACAAGAAAGAAGATTCCACCTAAACATTAGGAAGAACTTCCTGACAGTAAGAGCTGTTCGACAGTGGAATTTGCTGCCAAGGAGTGTGGTGGAGTCTCCTTCTTTGGAGGTCTTTAAGCAGAGGCTTGACAACCATATGTCAGGAGTGCTCTGATGGTGTTTCCTGCTTGGCAGGGGGTTGGAGTCGATGGCCCTTGTGGTCTCTTCCAACTCTATGATTCTATGATTCTATGAACTTTTGCCATTATGAAGGATAACTGACAATGGTGTGTTGAAAAATGAAAGGTGATCAAAGGAGCGCCAAAAACTCCATCACCAGTTGGAATCTGTAAGCAGACAAAAAGTAGTAAACGTGGGTACAGAATCTGTCCCTCACACAAAAGGGAAACAAGAAGGGAAAAAATTGAAAAGATGCACAAAGTGGCCAACCCTTGAAGAGGCACAGAAAAAGCATCCACATCTGGAGTGTATGTTGGTTCTTCATACAAGGCTTTATACAAGTCTGTTCCAAGCCCAACCTCTAGGGAACGATGCTGTTAAGTCCTCCTAAGCTTCACATACTTCAATGAGAAAGTTCTTTTTGTTTCTTCTTTTTAAACAAGAGGTGTATAAATTTTAAGAGATAAATAATAAATAAGGGTATACTTATTATTATTATTTTGAAAGAGCATGCTATGACTAGACTAATCATTTGGGGAAATTGTGTTACATAGGAGCCATAATAAATGTGATGGTCACCGGATGAATGCCTCATTGGCTTAAATTAATAATAATCCTAGAATTGTAATTTACTGCTGCAAAGTCTCTGCCATCCTATTCCTTCTAACTCCAATTTCTGGCCTATTTTGTCTCTTGCACACATGATCTCTCTCGCTTTCATAGCAAGCAGGAGGGTGCTGTAAACCTGGAGGGCAGCAGAGAAGCCCCCTATATGCAGCTGAGGTCTGTTGTACAAGTGGAACACCACAATTAGGTATCACTCCCAGTGTGTAACAGGGGCACAAATGAGAATTCCAAGAATGTATCTACATTCCATTAAATAAAAGGGAGAAAATTAACACCTTCTTGGGGGGGGGTGGAGAGTTCCTTGGTAAGCAGCCTTTAGTAGAGTGGTTGCAATACAAACTAAGTCAGAAATGTGCAATCATTGTATATACTGCGTAAATGCTCCAATTTTTGCATACAGTGGGTGCGAGTAGATGCTGCAGCATAAATTAAAAACCTGGTATAGAATTTTATCACCAGCTCCTCCTGGTGGTATAGGATAACTTCCAATACTCATTACAGGGAAGGTCCCAGAAGAGGCGCTAAGTAATATTGCTGTATGCTTCAAGCTACTAGCATATCATTGAACCCACTGCTACATTTTAAGTATGATAAACGGGAGGAAAGGGTGGAAGCAGAGGAAAGGCTTGCTTATAAAGGTAAATGGCACAGTCGGAAAAAAATATGGTTGATTCAATTAATATACACTGTACATGCCTACAATACATTAAAAAGTGTTCGCCCAAATAAGAAAAAAACATAATTCAGGCACTGTCAAAGAGTTGATGATGATCAATGACCGAGACAAACTCCAGTTTAGCTAATTAGAACCACTGATGAGCAATAATGATGTGAGCTAAGAATATTTGCAGACTTCTTTAGGATGAAAAATGGAGTGAAGAGAGGCTGTCAATTTGTACAAGTTTTAAGCTCCAATCACTTTTCCCACGAGTACCGCCTATTTTAAATGTTTAACAGAGCTGTATTTAACCACATGGATTTTTCACAGTCAGTTTTCACCAGCCACCGAAAGCCAAAAAAATCTGAGAAATTATACTAAACCATTAACTAACAATTTTCTATTGCATATGGCCCACGCTATATATTATACAACATGACAGGACCATATTTTCTGGGATTTGGCCCATTTTTAATGAGTTGTCAAAAATGAAATATTGGATACGACGAGGAAGCATTTAACTACGAATGAGGTGTGAAAATAGAACCTGCAGTTTCTAAAAAACCGCAAATATTTTCAAAGGTGCCCTGCTGAAGTTTATAAAATATTATCTTTTCTATAATAAATATGCAAAGCAGTGGTGTTGAAGAGAAATTATGGGCAGGAGGACAAATAGAGATCTGTGGTGGAAATCAATTAAACTTGTTCATAACATAAAGTGAAACACAGAGAAGTCAAAAGCTATGCTATTTCATATTACTGTAGCAAAAGTGTAAGTGATAAAAGACAGTGGCTACAACCCAACGAGGCGCCAACAAGTGTAGAAGGATTTGTTTGTAATTTCTCTCCAGAAGCCCCCTCTGAACTGAAAAGCTGCATTTTGAAATGCCAACACAATGTTTGGGTTTGTCAAAGGAGGATGCTGTAGAAAGGAGTATGAAGGCATAGGAGACAATTTGGCTTAGGCAAAGTGAGTGTGGTCTTGAGCAATGGCTAGATGGGTGATGGACTGGGCCCTATGTGAGCCACTCTAGGAATACAGGAAACAACCTTACGCCAAACAAGGCTTTACCTTTTGCATAGATCACAGTTTATTTAGTGGCTCGTTGCTTTTCTCACATGTACAAACAACCCCACTTTGGCAACCACAACTGCTTTGGACTGTTCCCGGCACTTCCCATTCATTTCATTGAGTCTACTCAAAACCCTGTGTTACTAGGAAACCTTCCTATTAAAATGAAAGGAGGTTGTGCAGGTGAGACTTGTGAGACCATTTAAGGATACCAGAGCTCACATATACACATATGTGTTGCTTTGACTATCCTTCTCCCACCACCGTCCACAAACAGACACAAGAAACACAAGAAACCTCCCCAGTATTTCAAAAGCAGTTTACGCCATGGCAGAATCTTGCTGATGGTGCCTCCTGGTGCAGTTTACCTTGCAGAAGTGACAATATATTTCATTCTCTCCCACAGGAAATGAAGGCTAGGAGGGTCAACATTTCTCTGAACATAGGGCTTTGGAAGAAAGCCTTCAGCACTTCCTGAACAGGAAGGGTGGGGGAGACAGTGAAACTGGTTGTGTTCTCTCCATCCATAATTCCACCCCACTTCAGTGACTCTGCCAGCATGGTGGGGCTTTTGTGGCATCAGCACCTCAGCCAGGAGGTCTCAAGTATAGGGTTGCATCTAAACCTCAATACACATTAAGATGTGTGAAAAATGGAAAACGTGAGACTGCCAAACCAAATTTTACATGCAGTTTTTGTTTTATTTAACAACCTAGAAAGCCTAATTTGCAAAGTATTAAAATATCTGAGTCTCCATATCAATTATTTTTATAATGAAAACATTTAAAGAACATATGATCAATATAAATTACATTTTTCTAACACTGCTTAATTTAAAATTAAGTAACTGCTTAACTGATTATGTCTTTGCTCTATGCATTATTTCACTACAT